ATGCATGTACTCTCTCTCTCTCGCTCTCGCTCTTGCTCACTCTCTCTTGCTCACTCTCTCTCAAATAAATAAAATCTTTGAGAAAAAAAAGTCATCCAGGCAGTGAAAGGATATAGTCAACACTCCAAATGCAAATCAGGCAATAGGATTAAAGACAAAAATAATCTCCAATGATAGAAATGAGAATGGTAGCCTAGGGCAGGCACATGGCAGATTGACTGTAAAGTGGCATGAGAGAACTCTCTGGAATGATGGAAATGTACATCTTAATTGGGGTGGTGGTTACAGGATGTACACATCTTATCAAACCGTATGCTTAGACTTGCTTTAAAAGGAAAGATGGGAATAAAGGGGAAAGGAGAAAAAATAAGTGGGAAATATCAGAAAGGGAGACAGAACATGAAAGACTCCTAACTCTGGGAAACGAACTAGGGGTGGTGGAAGGGGAGGTGGGCGGGGGGTGGGGGTGAATGGGTGACGGACACTGGGGGGGGGCACTTGACGGGATGAGCGCTGGGTGTTATTCTGATGTTGACAAATTGAACACCAATAAAAAATAAATTAAAAAAAAAAAAGGAAAGATGGATTGTCCATATGCATGCACTCACCGCCACTCATGGGATGTGTCACCACCTCGGGCCTAAGTCGCCATTTTTCAAAATCTCCATTTCTATTTGTAAAACATCTTTTGTGAGCTAATTCTATGACTTTCAGGCCAGCCCCGTATTTAAGTAAATTCTTACTGTAAACCAGAGACAAAAGAGCTAGCTTCCTGGCTGAAGTGGGCACGGGCAATCTGATGGTGTCCTTCCAACCTCTTCTCCTCCTCATAGTGAGAGGGCGCCATTGTCTCTAAGTCCCAACAGCTCTGATAGGCACTGCTTCTATGTCTCTGCTGAGGATTTGCCTCAGACTAAATATATCCTTTTCCTCCATACCATATGATTTCTAGATTCCTCTGGAAAGTACAGGCTTCTGTGCTCCCATAGAAGAGGGAAGCAGAGACAAGGAAGAGGGCCATGCCTCTCCTCTCCATTCTCCTCCTCTTCCTGATTCGTTCCACATAATACCCACCTTGCGTGTTCGAGAAGTGGCTGCAACACGAAACCTCTCATTAATGGTCAATTCCAGTTACATTAAAGTATTTAATAAAGCCTGGATTACTGGGTCATTAGGTTTCCAGTAAATCCTAGTGCCTTTTCATCAGGGAAAGGCAGGAGGCCCTGGCCCTAGGCCTTTAAGATGAAGAGAAGAATTAATGGGTCTTTATGCCCATGATAGTTGGTCATGGGGAGGGAGGTCACACTTTTAATGTTTCCTCTTCTGCTCTGACCAGCCTAACTTGTGGTCATCTTGCTTTTAGAAAATTTATCACTAGTTCCCTGCATCTGGGAATATGAAGGCCCTTCTTAACACCCACAAATTTTAGTTCCTACCCTTTACAGCTGCATTTTTATCCATATAGAAACTATAGTGTGTATGCACGTGCACACACACACACACACATGCTATTATGATTTCATTAACTTAAAAATATCTTGATAGATCACAACACAGACAAACACTGAAGGACAGCATTGCCTCTAGAAGAGGCAGGCAGTGCACACCCTGACTTGAAGTCCCCTTGTAGTGCTGTGTACTCCCAGGAGCTATGTGAAGTCCCCACGGCTGTGTACTCCCAGGAGCTAGATCACACTGAGGCATTCCCATAGCCAGTCATGGCAGGCACAAGCCAATTCCAGAGAAGCTGGTGGATAAACCTTTTACCACCTTTCTTGCAACCTTCCCTCCCCTCTCCAGGGTGGTCTCATGACTCAAGGAAAAGAGAAGATGTGGCCACAAGTGCCAGTGGAATTGAGGAGTAGGTTCTGGAGGAGAGGACAGCCTATGATTAGAGCCCCAGTGGATCTGGAACATAGCAATATAACAGGAGCCATTTATGTAATTCAATATTTTCTAGCATCCATGTTAAAAAGGTAAAAAGAAATAAGCAAAATTACTTTTAATAATTTATTAGCCTGATATATCCAAAAAATCATTTCAACATACAATATTTATAAAAAAAATGAGACATTTTTACATTCTTTTCTTTTTATATTAACATGTTTCACACTAGCTTTTCATTAAAAAAAACTTTTTTTAAAACTAACATGTATTTCACATGGAGAGCACATCTCAGTTCAGATTGCCACATCTCAAGTAATCAATATTCACATGTCTAGAGGCTACCATATTGGACAGTGCATATGAGAGAGCAAAGAAATGAGGATAGACTCTTCCTAAGCCATTCCCAGAGTTGGGGGCAGGGGGTGGAGTGCAGTGGTTATGTGGACACCATCGTCCTGCAGCTCAACATCATTCCCGGCAGGCACAGAGACTGCTGTCTCCCAGAGACAACCCTGAGCAGCTCAGGAGAATGTCCTGCGCAGATCCAGAGCCCAGCCAGAAGATGCACCACACAGTGTCTTATACAGAGGATGCCAAGTGGAGCTCATGGGCCAAATCCAGGCCATGGAGGAGTTGTGTTTGGCTCCCACAGTGTTTTCAATCTCTTGGAGTAATTGTTTTCATAGCTTTATATTTCCTTCCTGGCTCTTATAGACATTGGATGTGTAATATTAAATTACACACACAGTTCTTGAAGTCAGGTAGTCCTGGATGTTAATCTCGACTCTACCTCTTTTTAGCTGACATTGGATACACAATTCTTCATATGTCTTCTACTATAAAACTGGAGATCACAATACTTCACAGAGATGTTTAACTTGAGTGAGATAAGGAATTAACTGGCTAGCACAAAGCTTGGTACATAGTAAGTACCCAATAAATTGTGGGTATTAGTTTTCATTCACAGGAGGCATGAATTCCTTAGAGGCCTTACCATGGTCCTATTTCAATATGGGAAATTTGAGAAGTACATGCATAGCAGCAGCTCTCAAAAACAATCTCCATTTATTTGCAAACATAGATGTTGAGGAATGGGTTCTACACCCACAATTTTTAGACAATCTGTTTCCTTTCTGCTGCCCACAGGTATGGTTCAACTGAATTAAGCAGTCTTCAGTACCAAGGCACTAACAATTTTAAATGGCTTATATCTGGGAATGAAAGGGCAAAGCTAGCAATGACACCAGTGGCCTCTCCTGTTAACCTCCATCCTGGTTCCAAAGTGGAAGCATCTTTGAATCTGGGCACTGGATGCTGCTAGTAAAAGAAATTAATGACCAATTTGGACCAAGACTTGGCTATTGCTCAACCCCAATTTTTATTTTTATTTTTTTTCGTTTTTTATGGGGAAATTAAAAGGCTGGGACTTTAAAATATCTAAACAGTCATGATGAATGCTATACTACAACCCTCTAACCTGGGCTTCAGCCTTCCTTACTATTCATTCCCACCCCCATAGACTTTAAATTCAGAAATGTAGGTAGGAGAAAGAAAAAAAAAAGCCACAGGGGACAGAGGCCCCAGAACTGGCCCAGGAGAAAAGGAAACTAAGGAAAACTCTTCCTGGGGAAACTCCTGTTTTTCCATCTTCCCTTCCTACTGTTTAATGCAGATCTGCTTCTTCATTCCTTTCTACAATTCACATATTATGTGCTCAGCACTGTACTAGGCATTTTGATCGCCCTATTTTTCAAAGTAACTCTTATCTCCTCCATCCCTTTTTTCTTTTCTTTTGCATTACTCAGTTTCCCGTGTGCTATCTGTAAGAGTCCCTCTATGTTTCCTGCTCAAGAACAAGACATGACTCCTTTCTTTACAGTAAATAATAAGCTGGTCCTTGGGGGATTAGAAAAAGGGACAGATAGTTCTGAGCAGCACCTAGAGAGCCAACATGGCAAAAAAGGACCGCATGGGTAGGTAATGGAGTAAAGACAACCGCAGGGTTTTTATTTGTGCTCCAGAATTAAGTAACTCCTTTGTTATCAAAAATAACTACGTCAGCATCAATAACCTGCTGATTATAAAATATATTCTGGCAGAGAGAGAGAATTAACATCTAATGAATACTTGCCATCTGCCGGGCACTGTGCAAAGCTAGTGGCTCTCAGTATTTTAGTGGTCAAGGACTCCTCTGGGCTTCCTATGGAAGCTATAAAGTCTCTCCCTTAGAAAAATTCACATGTACACAAAATTTTACATAGACTCACAAGGGCAAACTGTGTTCCAAAGCACAATCACAGACTCCAGATTAAAACTTTTTTTGCTAAGCCCTTATATCTAAGAGCATGTCATTACTGAGACAAGATACCATTATCCCCACCTTACAGATGAGAGGACATCCCCAAGGTCACATACATAATAAGTGGCAGAAACATTTTAACCAGGGTTGTCTAAACAATACTTGCTGCCCTAGATGAAAATGTCATTTGGTTTCTACTGTTATTATAACTGTCACTACTTATTTTCACTCCTTATTTTTTTTAAAGATTTTTTATTTATTTATTCATAGAGAGACAGAGAGAGAGAGAGAGAGAGAGAGAGAGAGAGAGGCAGAGACACAGGCAGAGGGAGAAGCAGGCTCCATGCAGGGAGCCCGATGTGGGACTTGATCCCGGGTCTCCAGGATCACGCCCTAGGCTGCAGGCGGCGCTAAAACTGCTACACCACCGGGGCTGCCCCCTCACTCCTTATTTTTAAACAAGGAAATAAGATTATGTGAGAAACTGAAATCTGTGCAAAACATTCTAGACTCAGCCACAGGACATGAGAAAGGTTAGAATTCCCAGAGGTTCCAGTCCCATTTCCTATCAGCCAAAGGCCCATTCCCCCTGAACTCACCTGCTCAGATGAAAAACAAGGCAGAGGTACTTTTCTTAGACAGTGGCATATTCCTCAGAACAAGAAGCAACCTCTCTGTTAATAATATCTCATTAAAAGTGGGGGGGGGTATTTTTAAAGAAGCAACCTCTCCTTAAGATGACCTATCAGTCAAAACAGGAATTAAGAGACCAGTCAGAGCCTATGGATATGAAACAAAAGAAATTTAATTTCAGAATATTACATGAATAACAAAGAAAGACAGTGCATATGGTTGTTTCTTTATACTTACATATATATATATATATATATATATATCTGATATATAGTCAAATAAGAATGAAATACAAAAAATGGTGAAACAGTTAAGGAACCTTGCTTCTCTTGTTGAGCAAGATCAGGGAGAGCCAAGGGCGACCCCTACTATGGAGGGCTCCGGGTGGGAGTGTTTTTCCCAACAGGCTCTGCCAGTTTGGAAGCATCTGAGGGAGTGCTCAATGGCTCTTCAGCCCCCCGGCTGTGGCCTCGCACACTCCAGTTTCCATGGCAACCCAAGCACTCAGGCTATTATGTACTCACCTCGCTAGCCCCTCCACTGATTCTCCACTAGTGGAAAGATGTCAGTACTGGCTGTCTAGGAAAGCTAGCTTTTCCGGGGGAGTTTTAGATTGGTTTTGAAAAGCTTGTGCATCTTAGGAACCCAAATTTTCCCCAAATTCTAGAGCAATCTTGCCAAATGCCAATATCCAGGTTTAGATCAAGGTCCCATCTTCAGTACAAAAGCTTCAGGGTGAAGGGGACAGGGATGAGGCTCTCTCTGGAAAAAGAAGTTCTATTTAGAAAAGACCTTCCAGCATGTGTGTGAGGCCCTGTACGATAGAAGGAAGCAGCAAGTGTCTAGAGAAGTCTGTTCCCAAAGACGGCTTCCCCAGTTATGTATGGACCACACAGCTGGTCACTGCGGGGCACAAGAACAATGACCATAGGTTCTCCTAGAAGGCAGTATTTTAAACCATATCCTAACAGAGTCTCCTATGAGGGAAACTACACAAAAACACTGTATCTGGGAGGAAAGAAAGGCTCTGCTCTGACACTCTGGGATCTGCTGGCTTCCTTACAGGTCAAGAAAACGGCCACCTCTAGATCTCCCAGTGGTCACCACAGTCAACAGCCCTGCACTACTCCATTTCCCTAGGGTGCTCCCTAGAAGGATATTCAGGGTGAAGAGTGGGTGGAGGACCAGCTGTGGTTTCAGTTATAACCAATTAAGTACCAGTTCCTTTAACATGTTTTGGCACTCAGGTACAATCAGGATCTTTTAATCTTTCACTGTGGCAGTGGAGTCTTTCAAACCAGATTTCCTGGTCTCAGTGCAAAAGTCTATCATTATAAAAGGTTAGAAATTCCAGTGTCTGTGGTTTTCACTGATCCAACTAGTGTAGCTCACCCCGGACCTGAATCAAGGAGGTGCTCTGTGTCTTCACATTTATGCCCACTGGCACAAGTCTACTGTCCTGTACTAACATCACATCAGAATCCATCACAACTGACCCCAGAAAGAAATGAAATGTTAAAAGCCATAAAAGGAAGTATTTCCAAAGAGACTGTTCCAACATGAAAAATAAACATAGCAGATTAAAAAAAAAATCTTATAGATTAAAAAAAAAAAACTGTTAAATACTGGCTCAAAAATACACCCCCCACCAAGTCAGAAAGGAGACAGTATCCTGCTGTGGCAAATGATAAAGGACTTTTGTCTTTGAGTTCTCCATAAGATTCCACAGGATTAGAACACTCACATATTACAAGGCAGAAGGTTATGCTGTTTATTTCTCAAATTTGGATTCCAACTGGATCACAACTTCTATTTAAAAATGACCTATCCCACCCTTTAAGCAAGGGAAAGTATATTTAATAAATAACTTAAATGAAACATGCATACCCAAATTCACACATAAAGTGCCCAAGAGGGCAAGCTGTACAAAAGCAAGTGCATGTGGCAAGCATCTCTCTCACCACCCTAGCCCTGGCACAACACCTAGGTTACCAATTCCATTCAACCAAAGTCTTCTAAATCTCAGCTACGTCTCCCTCAAATAGAACCCCAGAACAAAGCTGAAGACAGGAAGGTATCAGGTCACTGCTCTGCTCTCTCCACCTGATGCCAGGCATGTTTAACAGACCATACCACTATGGGATGAAACACTTAGACAAATAAAGAAAGGAAGTATCAGGTTAAGGGAGAATACTATTCCAGTCTGGTCGAATCAAAAGCAGTCTCTCTGTACATTCACTGGTAGTTGGTCCTTATTTTCTCAATAATAAAAAAGCCAAATAGAAACCTACACAAATATATTTGCTAATAAGTATTTTTAAGAATGATATAAAACTGCTCTAGAGAAAGGGGCTTTTAAGCAGGCTTATACACCCCAACATCTATTGTTCACAATCCAAGTTGGAAGGCCAAATTTTACATTTCTCTTCACTACTGCTATTAAGCAGCAAATGAAACAGGAAAGTAAGGAAGAGAGGATAGCTGGCCACAAAACCAAACTGTGAACCCCCAGAGTCATCTTTCATCTCGGCAGAAACACAGCTCTTTCAAGAGTTTCAAGATAGTTAGCAAGTCATACTTTGCTGGGCACTGCTTCCTCACAGAGCCTGACTGAGCTCCTGCACAGGGTTTGAGCCGTTACACAGCTTAAGAAAGCAGGCCGACTCCAAACGCTCTCGCCTGCCACATGCTGCTCTCTAGGCAGTGAGTATATACAACAGTTCAAAGCCATGCCCCTGCTTGCTTACCTCAAACACACGTGAACATCCCCAACCCAGTCAAAGCCCCAGCCCCACCTCCAAACTACTCCTGCGCCCATCCTGACAAGGAGGGGGGCAGTGCGGCAACCCTCCTCAAACACTGATGATGAGCCACAACAGCTTCCAAGGGAGAATATGCTCTTTGAAATCCTCTCAGCCCTGCAGAGAGTGATGCTCACTTCCCCCTGTGACTCCTGCTCTCAGGAGACAGTCTAGCCTCACACCCAATCCCTTAGAAGGTGAAAGATCATCCCAACCACAAGGTGTCACCCTGGACATAAAGCCAGCTGGCCCCAACCTAGTCACACTCCAGAGTTTCCAGTACATTCAGATATTTCAGTAAATCTCTCTCAAGCCATTGGTGACTTTCCTTGAGTCACAGTGATCTGGCACAGAAATACTGGCACCAGAGATGTTTTAGGTGAGGAGAGACTGAATGAAGGAGACAAGTTCCACAACCACACAATTACTTTGTCATCACTGAGGAGAGGGAAAGAAAGAGAAGGGGGAGAGAGGAAAGGAGGGAGGAAGGGACAAAGTTAAAAACTGACATTTGGGGATCCCTGGGTGGCGCAGTGGTTTGGCGCCTGCCTTTGGCCCAGGGCGCAATCCTGGAGACCCGGGATCGAATCCCACGTCGGGCTCCCAGTGCATGGAGCCTGCTTCTCTCTCTGCCTCTCTCTCTCTCTGTATGTGTGTGTGACTATCATAAACAAATTAAAAAAAAAAAAAACTGACATTTGTTAAAATATGGTATCATTCTGAATTCTCCTTTTTCAATAACTCAGGTCCAAGAAATAATTTTTCTATTTCTAGGAAAGCTGTAAGTTCTTTGAACACAAACAGTATTGAGGAATACAGCCTCATGAGATAAAAAGCTTTCCCAAAGCTTAAGGTGAAAAAGAAGGGAAAGACATCTGTCTTAGATGCAATTTAGATGACATAAATAAAAAATGGCTTCAAAAAAAAAAAAAACAACAAATAAACAAGAAACAACCAAAATACCCCCCATACCATCAAAACAGAGAAAAGCCTCAAGTAAAAAAAAAAAAAAAAAAGAAAGAAAAGCCTCAAGTATCAGTTGAAAATAATATAATATTAATCCACTAGGACTGACAGTACTTAAAAAAAATCACTGGTAGTTGAATACAACTTTCATATTTTAAAAAATAATATCAAACAAATACATGGAATGAGCACTGTAGCCCACCTGGTTCTGCCCATTTACTGTGCTATGTGAGCTGGTTGGCTGGTTAGTGGTTTCTCCACAATATTTTCAAAAAGAGAGAGAGATGGTAGCACCCATTCAGTAGACAGAGTTTGCAGACATCCAGTGAGTGGGGTTAGAGGTATCAGTCAGGTCATAGGATTAGTTGACTTTCACAATGCAAAATGCAGCATGCAAGCTGCAAGTCCAAGCTTCTCTGTGAGCAGTAATGATGCCTGGTCCACTAATGAGAAAATTCTGGATGGACAACAGGAGAATTCTGGATCCTTCAGAGGAATCCTAGGTTGAAAGAGAAACAAAAACATTAAGCATATTTATAAATACCTCTTTTTGCAAACATCTCAAATAAGAGCTAGAGAATCTATACTTCATTTCTATAAACTGAGGGTTAAAGAGCTTAATTGAGAATTTTTGACTTTCTATCAAGTAAGTATCTCTTTGTCCATGTACCCTAATCTCAGTTCATTAAAACCTAATGGCAGTAACAGCTACCAATCTACTAAGTGCATATTTTGCACCAGACTCCACTCTGAACTCCTTATGTACATTATCTTATTTATCTTCACAACAATCTGTGCATGAGGTAATGCTCTTGCCATTTTACAAGTGAAAAATCTGAAGCCTACACAAGTTAACTTGCTCCAAGATTAACAGATATTAAGTAGCAAAGCTGGGAATTGAACCAAAGTATAACTGAATGCAGAGCTCAAAGCCTTACCACAACTATGCCTCTTACCAGCAAATGTTTATTAAATGCCTACAAGGCACTGTCAGTACTGGGAGGAAGAGAAGAACAGAAGACAGGAGGCCACAAATATATTCTCTGGCCTTTGTCTTCCAGAAGAGAAACTAGCTACAGATATCAGACAACACATGTGTAGTAAATAACCACAATAAATCATACTAAATATGTCAACATTTTAATAGCGTCAGTAAGAGTTCAAAGGAAAACATTCATCTGGCTGGGTTAGCCAAAGGTTTCAAAGAGGAGATGTGGTTTAGGTTGGGCTTTGAAGGAAGTAAGATTCTCACTACTGAAAATAATGCCCAATAATAAGAAGGTGACAAATCAGCAGTCCTCATCTGAGGGTGTTTGCCACCTCATTCCCAGGGGATACTTGGCAATGTTTGGAGGCATTTTGGGTTGTCGAAACCGGGGAAGGGTGCTACCAAGGGAAGCTACTAACCATGACACAATGTACAAGACAGCTCCCCATGGCAGAGAATTATCTGACCCCAAATGTCTACAGTGCCATGTTGAGAAACCCTATGCTAAATAAATGTCTTTTTGGAGCGTGCTCTTGATGATAATAAAATTGCATTATTTCCCTCAAATAATATTCCTTTTATAAAATCGCCATCTGGAGATGCCACGTTTAGGAGCAGTTATTCAACTGAGAGAATAAAGCTGTGGGTTAGCCCAGGCTGCTGAGAGGTAAAAAAGCAAGAGCAGAGATAAGCAGAGAAACTCAGGATAGAGCACTTAAAACACAAAGAGAAGGGCACCTAGGTGGTTCAGTTTGTTGAGCATCTGACTCTTGGTTTCAGTCTGGTTATAATCTTGGGGTTGTGAGAGCAAGCCTTGCATTGGGCCTCATGCTTGGCATGGAGTCGGCTTGTCTCTCTCCCTCTGTTCCTCCCTACCCCACTCATGCACGTGTCCTCTCTCTCAAATAAATAAGTAAAATCTTACAAAAAAAGAAGAGGGAAGAAGAAGAAGAAAGAAAGAAGAAGGAAGAAGAAGAAGAAGAAGAAGAAGAAGAAGAAGAAGAAGAAGAAGAAGAAGAAGAAGAAGGAAGAAGAAGAAGGAAGAAAGAAGAAGAAGAAGAAGAAGGAAGGAAGAAAGAAGAAGAAGAAGGAAGAAGGAGAAGGAGAAGAAAGAAGAAAGAAGAAAGAAGAAAGAAGAAGAAGAAGAAGAAGAAGAAGAAGAAGAAGAAGAAGAAAGAAGAAAGAAGAGAGGTGAGCCAGCAACAGGAAAGCTACCAGAGAGATGGAAAAGAATTCAGAAGAAGAACAAGAATAGTGCAGCATTATGACAGCCAAGGCAGGCCTTTCAGAATACAGGAAGTGACCAGGGAGAAAGCAGTATGAACATGCCACTGCCTAATCCAATCAAAGGTGTTCATCATGTGTGGGCCCCCAATTTTCTGAATCACTTTTTTATTTTTAAGTAGGCTCCACATCCAGCATGGGGCTTGAACTCATGACCCTAAAATCAAGAGTCACATGCTCTGCTGACCAAGACAGCTGGGACACCTGATTCATTAATTTGAGAATCCAATAAAACTATATGTTCTGTCCTTCAGAAAAATGTACATAGGCACCAACACATACAATGACATCAACAATACCAAGAACTTGATTAAAGCCCTTAGGAGGTCCATAAATAACAGCTCAAGAATCCCTGCTCTAAATCTTCTTGGTAAAATATGAACTTGGCTTATTTCTTTAATGCACTTCTCCCTTCTGAAAGTAGAATTGTCAGTATAAAAAGACTTACTATTTCTTGATTCTTTTCTTTTAAAGATTTTTTTAGGGATGCCATCAGCTATTTATTAGCGGTTAAGCGCCTGCCTTCTGCTCAGGGCGTGATCCAGGGGTCCCAGGATTGAGTCCCACATTGGGCTCCCTGCCATGGAACTTGCTTCTCTCTCTGCCTGTTTCTCTGCCCCTCTCTCTCTCTCTCTATCTATCTCTATCTCCATGAATAAATAAAATCTTTAAAAAATAATAATAAAAAAATAAAGATTTTTTTTTCATTTGAGAGAGAGTAAGAGGGAGTAAGAGAGAGTAAGATCACAGAGGGAGAGGGAGAAACAGTCTCTCCACTGAGCAGAGAGCCCAATGCAGAGCTTAATCTCAGGACCCTGGGATCATAACCTGAGCTGAAGGCACACAACCTACTGAGCCACATGGTGCCCCTCTTGATTATTTTAAAAACGAGAGCCACAAAAGGTATAATTTATTTTTTTTTAATTTTTATTTATTTATGATAGTCACAGAGAGAGAAAGAGAGAGAGGCAGAGACATAGGCAGAGGGAGAAGCAGGCTCCATGCACCGGGAGCCCGATATGGGATTCGATCCCGGGTCTCCAGGATCGCGCCCTGGGCCAAAGGCAGGCGCCAAACCGCTGCGCCACCTAGGGATCCCCAAAAGGTATAATTTATATAAAACAATGTATCCTACAAAAATAACTTATGCTTAGTTTTGGTTTACAGACATATACGTAGAAATATTTAGACACACATAACTCAAACACTCAACTTGCCTAAATAAAGACAGCCCTGCTTCTGACAGCCCAGTCAGAAGCAAGATGGAAAGAAAGAGCATTCAGATAATTCATTCAAGAATAAGGAACAAGACCACACTGAAATCTAATCTTCTAGAAAAGAAAAAAGATTTATCCGTAAGGGCTGGACTTTTGTTCTCCTTCTATTGCTGATGTCTCAAATCGTAATTAGCTCATGTCTCAATAGTAAAATGCACACATCAAGCCAGAGATCACTTCATCTGCCAGGTGAGCCTTACAAAACAGACAAGTCTCTGCCGGTCCTCTCTAGTCACAACTATCACTACTTGTTAATGCTTCTAAGACATTATTTCAATTAAGCCTCATAAGAAATTTGTGAACTAGATATAACTATTATCTTTATTTTCAGAGGAGGAGATGAATGGTTTTCCTTGGTTAGAAAAATGAAATCTCGCTTTTGAAGGGATCCCTGGGTGGCGCAGCGGTTTGGCGCCTGCCTTTGGCCCAGGGCGCGATCCTGGAGACCCGGGATCGAATCCCACATCGGGCTCCCGGTGCATGGAGCCTGCTTCTACCTCTGCCTATGTCTCTGCCTCTCTCTCTCTCTCTGTGACTATCATAAATAAATAAAAATAAAAGTAAATAAACGCTTGAAAAATGAAATCTCAAATCAGGTCTAACAGCAAATCCCCTGGTTCTCCCAGTGGACCACATGGCTTCCTCAGAAAAAAGCACAGCAGCGGCTTCCTTTTACCAGAACAGCCTGCTGCAACCAGCAGTCCCAGCACCAAATAATCTTTTTTGTCCTAAAAATATGTTGTATGATATGATTTCCAGGGTCCAGCAGCTATTTATTAGCTGGAAGCCTCACTGAATAAACAAGGCCAAAGTCTACACAGAAAAAGAACATAACTATTCTATCTTTATTACTTTTTTTTTTTTTTTTATGATAGGCACACAGTGAGAGAGAGAGAGGCAGAGACACAGGCAGAGGGAGAAGCAGGCTCCATACACCGGGAGCCTGACGTGGGATTCGATCCCGGGTCTCCAGGATCGCGCCCTGGGCCAAAGGCAGGCGCTAAACCGCTGCGCCACCCAGGGATCCCTATTCTATCTTTATTGAGCATATTCTTAGCATTTCTGTACTTGGTCTTTCAAATTAGTTTACACTTGCTTTTAATTTACTCAACAAGTATTCTTAAGATTTTTTTCATATGTGTCCCATCTGCCCAAAAACGCAGGGGCCATGTGTGTCCATCTTCACAGCTCTACCCCTCAGCACTGGGACAGTGCTGGGTAGATGATCAGTAATCATCTGCTGACCAGCCTTGCAATTTTACATTGCTTCTGACAGTGGGAATTCAAAAACTGCTACTGATGGACTAGAGGCAGAAAGGACTTACATTCAGTAAGAACATGGGATAAGTACAATCAATACCTTTTTTCCCCTCTTTCTTCCCCTCAGACCATTTCAATCTTGTTGGTGTCATCGTGACAGCTGGAGAGCCAGAAAATAACTGTAACAAGAAAATTTTATAGTGGCTTAAATGTGCTAATTAATGACATTCCTCAGACAGACTTTATTAACAGAATTATTTGCTTGTTCAATTTCAATGTGAAGCATTTTACTGAGGCTGATTGTATTTACATCATTAGTTTTAACTGATTTTATTGCTGATTTAATGAAGCAGCATATCTGGGATAACTAGAAGTGCCACCCAACATATAATGCAGTGCCAAGTAGGCCCAGCTCAAATGTTACCTGCCAGTAAGAACTATCCCTCCAGCACTTTGTGGAGCTCTTTCACTCTATTTGTCATCTCTGCATATGACATATATAACTATTATCCTTATTTCCAGAGGAGGAGATGGGCTCAGAGAGAATGAATGGTTTCCCTTGGCCTCAAATCAGGTCTAACGGCAAATCCCCTAGTCCTCCCAGGGGACCACATGGCTTCTTCAGAAGAAGAGCTGTACCATACTAGCTATAGCTTCCTGGAACTCCACATGTGTTTGTTTTTGACTATCAACATAAATTAAAGGATTAAAGAAAAGGCACAGTTGAATGGCCTAGAGAAACACAGTATAACAGAGGACGGTATATCAATATTTCTCCTTTCTACCAATGTCCACAAAGATGAAGTCCAAAGAACAATATCTTACTAAGTTCATATTTTCTTTGCTGGTTCTCTTCAATTCACCAATGGCTACAGATTCCGGAGTAGGGTGCTTGTTTTTCTTTTCTGACATCATCTGATTTCCCAGGACCTTCCGCTGATTTAGGAAGAGAAAATATGTGATTTATAAAGATCTACTATTTACAGCTCTACTGGTCTTTAAATCTATAGTTTCTTAGTTTAAAAAAATTTCAGCTTTTTGGTAAATTCTCCAAGGCCATCTTATAAAAGGGATGCCAAAGCATGTTACCAAAAACTATGAAGTTATTGCCTTTCTTTAGGTGATCACTTTTCCTCTACATTTAAAATAGCTGAAATTAAAAAAAAAAAAAAAGCTGAAATATAAGAAGCAGGTTTATAGTTGATTTAAACTAGGAAAGCAGGCCAATTACAGTGTGTTTCTGAAGTCATAAAAAAAAACCAAAAAAACAAAAACAAAACAAAACAAACAAACAAAAAAAAAAACAACCACTACCAGTTATTTACCAGTATAATTTTTTCCCCAAATATGTGTTGTCTCTGGCAGCTGTTAAGAGTCCCCTCTCTACTCAGGGAAACTTCTTCTGGGTCCACCTTAAGGCTGCTTCCCTGTCATGTCCTTGCATAGGATTAGAAAATTTGGAGAAAGTCTTTAAGAGTTTCTAATATAGCCACAAGAGTGTACAGGCCTTCTTAAGAGGTTCACATGACTATACTGTCATTTAGAGCAGGATTAAAAGACCTTTCATCTGAACAGCTTAGAAGCTGACATAACCTACTATAACAGCTGATAGTGACAATTCTACCATCTTTGGGGAATTCTTATCTTTTTCTTCTTAGAGGATAGTTTAAATCCCAAAAAATGTAACAAAACTAGAACATTAAACTCTACAATATGAATCAGCAGCAATATTAAGAATATTTCAATGTCACATAAGAGAAATTTTGGAGGAAAAAGTCTAGCCCACAAAAGGAATCAAAGCAGAATATAAATAAAATAGCTAAAATGCAGGAATGCTGGAAAAATGCGACTACTACATTTTCCTTTCAGAAATCAGCTGTCACCTCAGAGTTAAGCTGAAAGGGGGATGCTAGGAGCCAAAAGACTGGCTATAAAGCTTCCAAAGAACTTTTTTTTCAGATTTTATTTATTTATTTGAGAGAGAGAGCGAGAAGAGCACAAGCGGGGAAGAAAGGGAGAAGCAGGCAGGAGATAGAGAAGAAGCTTCCCCACTGAGAGAGAGTGAGAGGCAGAGACACAGGCAGAGGGAGAAGCAGGCTCCATGCAGGGAGCCTGACATGGGACTCGATCCCAGGTCTCCAGGATCACACCCTGGGCTGAAGGCAGTGCTAAACCACTGAGCCACCAGGGCTGCCCCCATATTTATATTTCAAATCAACATTTAGCAATACATCTAAAGCCACTGCAGAAGAACTTACTAGAAGAGAAAACTACACCCATCAAGCTTCAGTTAAAGAAATATTTGTTTGACACATAGAGAAACCTTTATTTGACTAATAACTTTTCTTGTTATCAATCATCTCAATGACAGGAAGTCAGAGGGAATGAAAGACTTCCAAGTAAAATGAACCAACAATGAACTATACCCAAGGAGGTGAATGTACTGCAGGGGTTCTAGCAAAATAAATTACCTTTTAATTATAGTAAAATATACGTAACACAAAATTTATCATTTTAACTATATTAAGTATATAGTTCAGCATCATTAATTCCATTCATATTGTTGAGCACCATCACCATCATCCATCTCCAGAACCTTTTTAATTCCCAAAATTGTGTACATACTAGACAATAATTCCCAATTCCCCCAAACCGTTAGACCCTAACAACCACCACTCTACTTCTTTCTCTATGAGTTTGACAATTCTAGGTATCTCACATAAGTGGAATCATATAGTACTTGTTCTTTGTGACTGGTTTATTTCATTTAACATAATGTCCTCAAAGCTCATCCATCTTGTAGCATATGTTAGAATTCCCTTCCTTTTTTAAGGCTAAATAATATTCCATTGCATATATATATATATATGTGTGTGTATGTGTGTATATGTGTGTGTATATATACGCACAATATTTTGTTTATCCATTCATCTGTCAATAGATATTTGAATGGCTTCCACCTTTTGGTTACTGTGAATAATACTGCTATAAACATGGGTGTACAAATATGTGTTCATATCCTTGCTTTCAACTCTTTGGGGTACATATCCAGAAGCGGAATTGCTGAATTCTGTAGTAATCTTACTTAATTCTTTGAGGAACTGCCATGCTGTTATCCATGGCAGGTGCACCATTTTATATTCCCACCAGCAGCCCATGAGGGTTTCAATCTTTCCATGTTCCCACCCACACTTGTTATTTTGTTTTGTTTGTTTTTTAATAATAGTCATCCTACTGTTATTTTCTATCTTACTGTGGTTTCGATTTGCATTTTCCTAAAGATAAGAGATATTGAGCATCTTTTCATTTGTTTATCTTCTCTAGAGAAATATCTACGTCCTTTGCCCATTTTTAATTTTTTTTCCCGTTTTTGTAGTTCATTATATATTCTGGACATTAACTCCTTACTAGATATATATTTTACAATATTTTGTTCCATTCTGAGTTGTTTTTTCATTCTGTTGATCACAAAGGAAATTTTGATGTCAAGCAAGACTAATGTCTCACAGACTAATGGCCCCCACAGGCTAACAACTGCAGGCTAACAACTGCAGCTTAAAGAAAAAATATATATTACAAGGTATTTATTTTTATTTTCCATTTTAATCAGACCTCCTTACTGTTGTTGTATTTATAGATTTTAAATTTATAGATGTTAAAATAGTTTTAAAAGAAACACAGCAGAACACAGAACTGTGCTTAATCTCTCTCCAAGTTAAACAGAACCTTGCCTTAGTTTTATGCCTGAAAATTCTTTTTTTTTTTATGCCTGAAAATTCTAATCCCATTATTACATTATCTACTGCCACCTGATGGCAACATGCCTTAACTACAAGTTCATATCATCCGCAAGGACGTGTGAACTGAATCCACAAGTATAGTGATGGCAGCAACAGCCCAGTAGATATTGTACTTGTTTTTAAAACAAGGTTTTTAAGTAATTTGCTGCAAAGGAAGAGACTATACAACTGATTAAAATATTAAGCTTACAAAAATTTAAGTCACCTAAAATTTGCTAGGCTCAGAAAATCCATTTCCTAACCATTTCCGTAAGTCTGTCAACTCCATTTCTCCATAGCTTTTACAAATTGTGCAGTGGGGTTTGTAGCACAAAGTAAAGAACTCTCCACATTGGGGACTCTGTCCTCAGGCCCAAAGAGAAGGAAGGACCTTTCTTTTACTATCTAATCATACAGCTCCTTCTCCAATTCGAAACACAGCAAAATGCTATAAAAACCCAAAGTTTTTCCAAATTATATCCTTATCCTCTTACAAATAAACCCTTTATAGTATCCCAAAGAAGAGAAGAAAACTGTTTATGCATTGAAAAGTCAGACTGTTAAATTTTCTCTAAGTCAATGCTAAAAATGAGAACACAGCATACATACCTTAATAAGGCCACTGAAGGAACGTGAACGGGCTCTTTTCTGGACCCGAGGAGTAGAAGATTCTCGCCCTGGTGTTTGGGTCACAGATTGCTTATTAAACTAAGAGAAAACATAAACATTTTACTATTATTTCCTCTACCAGGAGATAGGATTCTGTGATAATCAACAGCTAAGTGTAAATATGCAGAAAAGTGAGTCTGTACACATATGGATTAGTAGGTTACTAAGCAAATTTCAAAAGCAGAAATGATGTTGCCCAAAAAATTCAAATTTATTAAATTACTATAAGGAGACTGTACTTCATTTTCCTTTTTCTTATGTACTGTAAGTTTGGTAGCATCACCTCTATTTTATAAACAAGGAAACCAAGACCCAGAGAGTTATGCAATTTGCCCAAGATCTCCAGCTGGTAATCAATATTTTTTACAGAAATATCTTGGACATGAAGAGTGACCAGCACAACCTAAAACAATCCTTAATTTAACATTAATTGCATACAGAATAAAAAAGTTACTAAAGGGGCAGTCCCGGTGGCGCAACGGTTTAGTGCCGCGTGCAGCCCAGGGCGTGATCCTAGAGACCCTGGATCGAGTCCCACGTCAGGCTCTCTGTATGATGCCTGCTTCTCTCTCTGCCTGTGTCTCTGCCTCTCTCTCTCTCTCTGTTTCTATGAATAAATAAATAAAATCTAAAAAAAAAAAAACCCTCTTAAAAAAATAAAGTGTTTAAAAAAAAAAGTTACTAAAGCTCTTTAAATGGACATTTATTATGAGTGCTTGCCAGCACTATTAACGGAGGAAATATATCAAAATAAAAAGTGGTCAATTTCATCAATATCAACTCTTTGATGGTATCTAACATGGAAAATAGAAAACCTAAAACACTGTATAGTCTTATTTATAATGCTTTGATTAGCCATTTATCTCCTCAGTTAAAAAATATAATACTTGGGAAGTATTATACTTGGATGGGTCAGCAGTTGAACATCTGTCTTTGGCTCAGGGCGTGCCCGGGATCCAGGATGGAGTCCCTTGCTCCAGGGGATGGAGAACCTCTCCTTCTCTTTCTCTCTCTCTGTGTCTCTCATGAATAAATAAATAAAATTTAAAAAAAATAATAAAAATAATACTTAAAACTCTTCTACTTGTCTGCCTTTTCTAACTATAGTTTCTAAATATGTGAATTGTAATTTTGCAAATTTTTACCAGTTCAAGTTCAGTTCTGGAGGTTTAAAAAAAAATGACACTCTTCATACATATTATACAGGTACCAAAAAGTTCTCAAAGTTAATTACCAGAAAATTTAGTCACTTCTAAAGAGTTTACAAAGCAAGCATCCCTCCAATATATCATTCCTGATAATGTTGGCCAGATGCAATAGGGGGGCTGTCTTGTACCTAGCTGGTGGGAGCATGAATAATTTTCTGGGAAGCTATTTAGCAATGTGTGCCCAGTCTTTTCAAAATGCATACAGTAGTCCCCCTCTATTCGTGGCTTTGCTTTCTGTGGCTTCAGTACCCTGTTATCAACCACAGTCCAAAAGCAGATGATTCTCCTAGCCTAGTAGTAGTAGCCTAACGTTATGTCACAATGTCTACATCATTCACCTCACTTTATCTCATCATATAAGCATTTTATCATCTCACATCATCACAGGAAGAGTGAGTACAATATAGTAAGATATTTTAAGAGATATTTATTTTATTTCACAGAACTTTCACCACAGTATACTATTATAATAGAACAACTATAACATACTTCTATTTTCTTAGTAACTATTGTGGTTAATTTTTCACTGTGCCTAATTTATAAATTAAACATTTATTATAGGGATCCCTGGGTGGCGCAGTGGTTTAGCGCCTGCCTTTGGCCCGGGGCGTGATCCTGGAGACCCGGGATCGAATCCCACATCGGGCTCCCGGTGCATGGAGCCTGCTTCTCCCCCTGCCTGTGTCTCTGCCTCTCTCTCTCTCTCTCTCTCTCTCTCTCTCTCTCTCTGTGACTATCATAAATAAATAAATAAAAATTTTTAAAAAATTAAAAAAAATAAACATTTATTATAAATATATATATATTTAAAAATAAAACAGTATATATAGCGTTCAAAACTATCCATGGTTTTCAGGCATCCACTAGGGGTCTTGGAATGCACCCTCCACAGATAAAGGGCAGGAACTACTGTATTAAAAAAATACACACTATCTATGAAGTTCTTACCAAAAAGAAAAAAAAAATCTAATGTATTCAGATCAAGCTTCTAGAATTAGATCTAACTACAAATTTATCATAAATACAGAGGACTGAGGTATGTGTTAACACCACAAGGGTGACACTAGCAAAACTAGACTGTGGAAAACAAACTATATGGTTTCTTTTGCAAATAAAGTGCAGGCAGAGAGAGAATGTACGCATGTGTGTGTTTAAATGCAGTGTGATAACCTGGATTAGACACTGGCACAGAAAAAGGATATTAGCAAAAAAACTGCTAAAATCTGAATCAAATCTCTCACATTAATAGTAATATATCAATGCTAATTTCTTAGTTTTAACAATATTACTATTAGGAATGAAAAGTATATGAGTATTCTCTGTACTATCTTTGCAATTTTTCTCTAAATCTAAATTATGTCAAATTTAAGTTGATTCAAACAAAGTTTGGCAATTTTTTTTGGCAATTTTTAAAAAATAGACTTTATTTATACATGATAGACACAGACAGAGAGGCAGAGACACAAGCAGAGAGAAGCAGGCTCCATGCAGGGACCCGATGTGGGCCGCAATCCCGGGACTCCAGGATCACTCCCTGGGCCAAAGGCAGGGGCTTAACCACTGAGCCACCTAGGTCTCCCAGTTTGGCAATTTTTTAGGGGAAAAGAAAAGAGGGGAGAGAAGGAGGAACCTGTACATTAAAAAGGACCAAACAGCAGTATCCACCAAAAAAAAAATAAATAAATAAAAAAAAGCACACTCTTTGGTCATGTCACTTCTAGGAAAAAATCTGCAATGAAAATACTATAAACAAAAATTTATAAGATAAAAAATAACCTAATTCCCAAATATGTCCAGTTGCTGTTAAAAATGTTCACAGCCCCCTCTTTTTTTTTTTTTAAGATTTTATTTATTCATGAGACACACAAAGAGAGAGGCAGAGACAAAGGCAAAGGGAGAAGTAGGCTCCCTGTGGGTAGCCCAGTGGGAGACTCAATCCCAGGACCCCAGGATCTCAACCTGAGCCAAAGATGGACACTCAACCACTGACCCACCCAGGCATCCCTGTTCACAGCCTTTTAACAATACAGAAAATGATCATGATATAATATTAAATGAAAAGAATAGGAATATTAAAAACTGAACATATATTATGATCTCAAGCAAAAGAAAAAAATGTCAAATACATATTCATGGAAAGTAACACTAGAAGAAAATACTCCAAAACTTTTATCAGTGGTTATCTCAGGATGATTTCAGGTGATTTTTCTTCTTTATACTCTACTGGAAGTTGTACTGCTTCTACAGTGAATATTTATTTTTTTTATTTTTTTTTTTACAGTGAATATTTATTATTTTTATAATCACTAAGAGAAAAATCAGGAAATAGTAAAATTAATAGTTTCTTCAAAACAAAAGGGCAATATTTTATTTTGTATTTTTTTTATTGGAGTTCAATTTGCCAACATATAGTATAACACCCAGTGCTCATCCCGTCAAGTGCCCCCAAAAGGGCACTATTTTAAATGTATGCAAGAATTTATAAGCATGGGGTAGCCCTGGTGGCACAGTGGTTTAGCACCGCCTGCAGCCCAAGGCATGATCCTGGAGACCCGGGATCAAGTCCCACGTCAGGCTCTCTGCATGGAGCCTGCTTCTCCCTCTGCCTGTGTCTCTGCCTCTCTCTCTGTCTCTATGAATAAATAAATAAAATCTTAAAAAAAAAAAAAGAATTTATAAGCATGTATGAGAAAATAAAAGAAAGTATGTGGTATGGTCCGAACTATGCAGAAATTTATCGCTATGAAAAAGCCTGAAAGAAACACCCAAAATGTAAACACTGGTGGGATGAATGATTTATTTTCTTCTTAACCTTTTCTATAATTTCCTATTTTTCTAAAAAGAGCAAAAATGTTAGTTTTTCCTTGTAATGTCTTTAACATTCTATTCTTGATGACAGAAGTCATGACACTTGTCCTACCTGAATTGCTCTTAGTTTCTATCAAGAATTAAATCACTACACTGCTTTGAATCTACAATACTAGGCCAACATCTTTGAAAATTCGAGTCATAACACAATTTGCTAGATCTCAAAGTAACTTCAAAGCATCTAACAGAAAACTTCTCATGAAGGACTGTCAATTTTTTTTTAAGATTTTATTTATTTATTCATGATAGACATAGAGAGAGAGAGAGAAAGAGAGAGACAGAAAGGCAGAGACACAGGCAGAGGGAGAAGCAGGCTCCATGCCAGAAGCCCGACATGGGACTCGATCCCGAGACTCCAGGATCACGCCCAGGGCCAAAGGCAGGCGCTGAACTCCTGAGCAAACCCAGGGATCCCCCAGGACTGTCAATTGTTAAGAACAGCTCAGTTCAACATTTTCTGAGCACATGGTTATGTCTGACCCTACACTTCAGATTAAGTATAAAAAAATAAATAAAAAGAGACTTCCCTCAAGAAGGTCCCAGTTGACTAAGAAGTCAAGAGGCTGACCTGTGTGTTCAGCTCAAATTCAAGAGGGATTGAGACAAAATAAATTTCCCAAGAAAGAAACTAACCAAGTCATTGGGATTTACTTAAACTACACTTTGAGTCTCAAAATGGCAAATGGAGACCTAATTTTACTCTCATAACCCCAAAATAAACAAACTTAGCTACCAGAATTCCTACTTTCTAACACCAACTTAGGCCCCTGAATTTATAGTGTTTTCTAACTGCAAACAACTCATTATTAAGAGCTACCACTTTTGCTCTGCTACGCCAGCCACTTTACATATTCCTTCTAATCTTTATATAGTCATGAAGCATAGACATTTCAAGTACCTCTTTAAAAAACCAAGGAAATTGAAATGTAGAAAGATTAAATTATTTGCCAAGAAAATCTTGAAGGATTTAAACTTTGGAACAATATATCTCAATTCCTGGTTCTCTCTCAGCATGCTTGGTACATGACCAAAATCCGAGAAACTCTAACCATACTTAGATCTTTCTGTTTAATTCTAGATATCCCAGAGCCTCCACTCCTTTCTGTAGTGGGGTAGGAGGACAGAGACTGTCACTGAGGTTCCATTGACTAGTTTGCTTTCTTGACTGAGCCGAGCTGGGGCCAATAAGAGAATCTTATTCTCTAAATGAGATGCTTAACAACATTCCCTAGGGATTCTACAACCTCAATCATATTGCTAAAGCCCTGTCACTGTTTCCCTGCCTTCAGGTACCTGTCTAATAAGTTGTTTCTTCTTTGCTGACTCTGGCATATTGTGAACATGTTGGAACAGTTCTCTCAATGCCTCTTCTGTACGCTGCTGGGTCTCCTCCTGGTGAGAGCAGGAATCCACCCAGTTCCGTTTCTGAGATTTTGCCAGTTGGAAGGACTTAGTAGAACATGAAGCTATCAGATCAAGATCATCCTAGAGAAAATTTTAAAGAAAAGCAAATTAATATATCCTGCCAGCTTTGTTTTCAGGTTCCTGCAACCCTGAAAAAAAAAGAGGAAGAAGTGGGGAGCATGGTATACTCCTATACCTAGGAATAAGAAAAATCTAAATATAATTATCACATGAAGAAAAATCTGTAATTATAGACTATATAAATAGCCTACTCCCAAGACAGCCTAGAGAACCTAAATTCATTTAGAATATTACCACCAAAAATTATATTTATAAAGAGTTCAATTTTCAAAGCATCTTTTAATTGCACATAACTCTCACTGCTATCCTATGAAGTAAGCAGAGAAAGTATCATCATTCCCATTTGATAGAAGAAAAAATTGAAGTTAAACTCTAAGTTTAAAGTCATTTGGATACTAAAGTGACAGACTCATCCTGGAGACCAAGTGCACAGACTCTTGGCCAGTGCTCTTTCCTACACACAGGAACATAATGGGATAACTACACAGCAGTGGTTGAGGAACAGAAACAACTCTCTAAGAGGAGCTACACTCCAGTTGAAACAAGTTGAAATCATATATTGCTGTCCTGGTCACACCAAATATTTACTGAATGAGAGGGATCCCTGGGTGGCGCAGCGGTTTGGTGCCTGCCTTTGGCCCAGGGCGCGATCCTGGAGATCCGGGATCGAATCCCACGTCAGGCTCCCGGTGCATGGAGCCTACTTCTCCCTCTGCCTGTGTCTCTGCCCCAATCTCTGTGTGTGTGTGACTATCATAAATAAATAAAAAAATTTAAAAAAAATTTACTGAATGAGAGGTAGAAACAAACAACAGAAACAACCGCGTAAGACAACAGCTTAAGTTTCTAACCAAGACAGACTAAGAGATCATCAAAAAGTACTTGTGAAGTTCTTTAAACTTCTCAGTTTTAAAGCTTAATAATTATATATAATCTTATTAATAAGCATCACACATTTGCTTTCTAAGCTCACGTGGTCTCAAGTCTTTGAAGTGTTTGACAGTGTTATCACTGAACCTGAAATAAGAATGTATTATAGAAAACTGTGATTTCCCAGGGAAGGCCCATGGAGCCTCCTGAGCGCTGCCTGCAGGACAGATGCTCCTTCCCACTTGTCTTCTTTCCTGGACAAGTTGCATAGCTGCAAGTTAAGAATGTGGTACATTTGGCAGTCAACTTATTTTAATAAATTAAATATTAAAAAAAAAAGAAAAGAAAACTGTGATTTACTGATGTAAAATATTTAATACATTTGCTATTTACAGACTGTTATATGCTTTTTTAAATATATTTTTAATTTTTATTTATTTATGATAGTCACACAGAGAGAGAGAGGCAGAGACATAGGCAGAGGGAGAAGCAGGCTCCATGCACCCGGAGCCCGATGTGGGATTCGATCCCGGGTCTCCAGGATTGCGCCCTGGGCCAAAGGCAGGCGCTAAACCACTGCGCCACCCAGGGATCCCCAGACTGTTATATGCTTAAGAATGCACAGGGGCTTTATGAAAATCTTTAAACATGCAATCTATGCCATCACTCATATGTAGAGGATCCCAGCTACCAGTGGAGTACCTCTGAAAGGAAACAAGACTATGCAGAGGCACTTTTATTTCAACATGTAACTTTCCTCTGAGTCTTTTTCCTCATCCCAAACTGACTAGATAATTTTGAAATATAACACATTTTATTTTCCATGGCTTTACTTTGATTTCACACTTTAACTCCATTAATCTTAATTAACTCTTTCCTTGTTGGGGCTAAAAGCCATTTCTTATTCTTACCTTTGATGCTTGAGTTCTGGAGCCCAAATAGTGCAGTCTGGCACATTCCCGAATATAAACAGGAGCCTGGGTAGAATATAAAAGAAAACCAAGAACAAGTAGTTAGCAATATCTAAAACTATTTCAGACCACAAGAACAGTGATTCTCTCTGGGTTTTTTTTTAAAGATTTTATTTATTCATTTGAGATAGAGCACAAGCAGGGCAGAGGGAGAAGCAGACTCCCTGCTGAGCAGGGAGCCCAATGCAGAACTCGATCCCAGAACCCTGGGATCATGACCCAAGCCAAAGGCAGATACCAACTAACTGAGCCACCCGGGTGTCCCAGAACAGTGATTCTCAAAATAATCTGCTGGCAGATTATTTCAGAAAAATAAAGGATCCTCAAAATGTCCTATTTTAGCTTCCTTTCTCTTGCCACCAAAATGATATTTCAATAAATCTGACAGGAAAACTGTTTTTGAGAAGACACTACTGTTATTTTTTTTTAAAGATTTTGTTTATTGATTCATGAGAGACACAGAGAGAGAGGCAGAGACATAGGCAGAGGGAAAAGCAGACTCCATGCAGGGAACCCGATGTGGGACTCAATCCGGGAACTCCAGGATCATGCCCTGAGCCAACGGCAGACGCTCAACTGCTGAGCCACCCAGGCATCCCGACACTACTGTAATTTTAAAAATCAGGTATGGCATGTATATACTCAAATGAACCAGAAACAAAAATATAGACATTCGTAGTAATGTTTATCTTTGGCAAAAACTACCCCAAAAGAGGCACCTGGGTAGCTCAGTCAGTTAAGCAGGCAGCTCTTTTTTTTTTTTAAGATTTATTTATTTATTCATGAGAGATACAGAGAGAGAGAGAGAGAGAGTGAGGTAGAGAGGCAGAGACAAGCAGAGGGAGAAGCAGGCTCTTCGCAGGAGCCCCACGTGGGACTCGATCCCGAATCCCAGGATCACGACCTGAGCCGAAGGCAGACGCTCAACTTCTGAGCCACCCAGGTGTCCCAGTAGCCAGCTCTTGATTTCAGCTCAGGTTACAATCTCAGGGTCCTGAGATTGAGCCTCATGTGGGGCTCTGTGCTCAGCGGGGAGTCTGCTTGAGTTTCTCTCCCTCTGCCCCTCCCCACACATACATGCAAGCTAACATATAAGTTAAAAAAAAAAATAGGGTCCCTGGGTGGATCAGTTGGTTGAGCATCTGCCTGCAGCTCAGGTCATGATCCCAGGATCCTGAGATCAAGTCCTGCATTGGGCTTCTTGCTCAGCAGGGAGCCTGCTTCTCCCTCTGCCTCTGCCCTTCCCCTGCTTATGCTCTCTGTATCTCTCTGACAGATATAAATAAAATCTTAAAAAAATAAAAATAAAAACCACCCCCCAAATCCTTACAAATTACCAGTAGTCCCTAAGTCACATTTTATAATCACTACAGAGAAAAATACCATTTAGAATTACTATGGGGTAACAAGAGACAAGAAAGAATTTAGCTTACTGATATATTGCCCAGAATCCTATGACACATACCCTGATACATTCCTAACAGAAATGTCAAATAATACAAATGTCAAATAATACAATCACTGTGGGAGAGAATTCGGTAACATCTAAGAAAATTACATTTGTATTTACCCTTTAACCCAGAAATCTCACTTCTAGAAAACTATCCTGATGATCCAACTCCAGAAATCAAAAAACAATGGGATGATATTAAGCAGAAGATTAAACATAACCTGTCTATTAATAGAAGAATGAGTTGAATTTTTACACATTCATACAACACAGAACTAGATAGTCATTAAAAATGAAAGAAGGGAGGGAGAAAAGGAAAGAAGGAAGAAATGCTTTATGATCTTATAGGAGTGATTTCTAGTATCTACTGTTGAGTGAGAGAAATTATGGAATGGTATATTTTTTTTTGTTTTGTTTTTGGTTTTTTTTTTTTTTCGAATGGTATATAAAGTACCTGTGTAAGAGAAAAGGAACATACTCACACACACACACTTATTTGATTTTACAAAAAGAAACACAAAAAGAAGCAGGATAGGGCAGCCCAGGTGGCTCAGCGGTTTAGCACTGCCTTCAGCCCACGGGTGACCCTGGAGACCTGGGATCGAGTCCCACTTCAGGCTCCCTGTGGGAAGCCTGCTTCTCCCTCTGCCTGTGTCTCTGCCTCTCTCTCTTTCTGTGTCTCTCATGAATAAATTTTTTAAAATCTTAAAAAAAAAGAAAAAAACAGAGGCAGGATAAACCAGAAAATAATGAAAATGGTTATGACAATGACTGAGTTCTCTGTAAGTATATCTTTTTGTGTAGTTTTGACTTTTGAACCATGTAAATATTCTACAGATTCAAAAAATACAATTAAATCCAAAAGGAGGGGATCCCTGGGTGGCTCAGCGGTTTAGCGCCTGCCTTTGGCCCAGGGCACGATCCTGGAGTCCCAGGATCGAGTCCCATGTCGGGCTCCCGGCATGGAGCCTGCTTCTCCCTCCTCCTGTGTCTCTGCCTCTCTCTCTTTCTCTCTCTCTGTATATCATAAATAAATAAATCTTATAAATAAATAAATAAATCCAAAAGGAAAAAAAGCAAACCCTAAAACTGAAAACAAACAGGAAAAAAAATGAAAATATCTATATATATATGATTGATAACATGTGTAGATGATAGTATCTGTGTATATGATAAACACATAAAAAGAATTATTCCACCTAACTTTTGAAAACTATATTCTGACTATATATCCTTAGTGAAATATATTCAAGGGAAAAGGAACTGTAAGCAAATCTTAAATCGTAAACTTCAATCAGCAAGTTTACATAGGCTTACTTTTAAAACTAATTTTTTAAAGTTTTTTTTTAATTCTTTTGTTTATTTGAGAGAGAGTACCCAAAGGTGGGGTAGAAGGCGAAAGAGAAGCAGGCTCCCAGCTGACAAGGAGCCCGATGTGGAGCTCAATCCCAGGACCCTGAGATCATGACCTGAGCCAAAGGCAGACGTTTAACTGACTGAGCCACCCAGGTGTCCCAAAACTAATTTTTTATATATTGATATTTTATATATTGCAAGATAATGCAAATAACATATAAATGCTATTAAAATCTGGAATTTGCAATGTGCAAAACAGATACAAATATAAAGTAAAAGAAGTCGGGCAGCCCGGGTGGCTCAATGGTCTAGTGCCACCTTCCGCCCAGGGCGTTATCCTGGAGACCCGGGATCGAGTCACACGTCAGACTCCCTGCGTGGAGCCTGCTTCTCCCTCCTGTGTCTCTGCCTCTCTCTCTCTCTCTCATGAATAAATAGATAAATCTTTAAAAATAAATAAAAATAAAGTAAAAGAAGAAAAAGCTCTGGGATGTTAAATCTGAATTGGAAATATTAATATGAACTAATGATTTCTTTTTTAGAAATATTTTAGTTGACTTTTTGCCCTCAAAGAGCCTAAAAGCAATGATACCCCAGAAACAATGAGTAAATCTCGTGTCACTCAAAGAAACCAGGGCTCCTTGAAGAAAATAATTGATTTCAGGCCCAGGGCAGAGCAAAGGCAAAGTGAGCTGAGGACATTTTATGCCAGGAAGGAAACATTCAGACTAATGGAGTCCTGTCAAAAAGACACAGCAGGAAGAGCTTGCAAGGGCTCTCACTGGCCAAATTTGAGATAATTTGAAAATTAAAATTAACAACTACAATTGACTAACACGTTGAATAACTACAAACCTATGAGTCTATAGAGATAATAAAAAAAAGAAAATGAAACAGAGGAAAGGAAAGCTCTATTCAAAAGAAAAAAGTCAGCTAATAGAGATTAAACAATAGAATTAGAAAATGCTACTTTGTAACACTCAATATAATCATAGATTCCAGCAGGATTACCAATGAATGCTAAAATCATTACATTAGGCAATCACCCTGCAGGTTACTTACTAATTGCAAAAGGGAAAATGTACCTTTATAACTGAGAGATGTGGCAGTTAGCAAAATTAGCATCACTGAGAGTGAGACAATCTGACATTCTGTGCTTCCTAATGTGATGCAATATGATGCAATATGATGTACACAAACATCACCTATGAATCATTGCCAAAATGTTTAACATGAATCTAATCAAGCCTCTAGACCTAACTTACAATTTACAGGAACTACAAAGAAAAGGACAGAGGAACAAGCCTTGAGAAAATAAGACAAATTTAAAGTATGGAACATTCTATAACCCAAATTGGCCTGAATGCTTCAATAAACCAATAACATGAAGAAAAAGCATAGGGGCTGTTCCAGATTAAAAGTGACATAATAATCAAAAGCAATACATAAACCTCGATTAGCTTTCATAATTAAAAACAGGAGCTATGGGATCCCTGGGTGGCGCAGCGGTTTGGTGCCTGCCTTTGGCCCAGGGCGTGATCCTGGAGACCCGGGATCGAATCCCATGTCGGGCTCCCGGTGCATGGAGCCTGCTTCTCCCTCTGCCTATGTGTCTGCCCCTCTCTCTCTGTGACTATCATAAATAAACAAAAAATTAAAAAAAACAAAAAACAAAAAACAGGAGCTATGAAATACACTCTTAAGACAACTGGGGGAATTTGAATCTGTATTGAATATTAGCTAATATGAAATTCTTAATAATTTTCTTAGACATGATAATGGTACTCTAACCATTAGAAGAATGTTCTTATTCTTAGGAAATATATGCTTAGATGTGAAGTTCCATGATATCTAGAATTTACATCAGGGGTTCAACCAAAAACAAAAACAAAAGCATGAATATATGGAGTAAGATAAAGCAAATATGGCCAATAGTAACATATGTTGAATCTTAGAGTTGTATGAGTGTTCACTGTTTTTCAACTTTTATCTATATTTGAAAAACTTCATAATAAAGTTTTAAAAAGAGTCTTGAGACAAAAACTTTATGACATCTACAGTTTAATTTTTACCTTGGTAAACTATAAGGTAGAGCTCAAAAACCAAAGGATTAAAGATTTTATCTATTTATTCATGAGAGACACAGAAAGAGAGGCAGAGACATAGGCAGAGGGAGAAGTAGCCTCCTCACGGGGAGCCTGATGCAGGACTCAATCCCAGGACCCCGGGATCACAACCTGAGCTGAAGGCAGACGCTCAACCACTGAGCCACCCAGGTGCCCCAGCAGATGGGCTTAAATGAAAACCTGGAGGTGGGGATCCCTGGGTGGCTAAGCAGTTTAACCCCTGCCTTCGGCCCAGGGCGTGACCCTGGGGACCCGGGATCGAGTCCCACGTTGGGCTCCCTGCATGGAGCCTGCTTCTCCCTCTGCCTGTGTCTCTGCCTCTGTGTGTCTCTCATGAATAAATAAATAAAATCTTTAAAAAAAAAAAAAAGAAAAGAAAACCTGGAGGTGTTAAGTATTTTACTGTTCAGGGAGAATCAACAAAAGGCCTTCCCACATAAAATGGGAACTAGCCTTAAATGTAGATGGTTATAAGTCCCTAAGAAAAGATACTGTGGGGATCCCTGGGTGGCGCAGCGGTTTAGCGCTTGCCTTTGGCCCAGGGTGAGATCCTGGAGACCCGAGATCAAATCCCACGTCCGGCCCCAGTGCATGGGGCCTGCTTTTCCCTCTGCCTGTGTCTCTGCCTCTCTCTCTCTCTCTGTGTCTCTCATGAATAAATAAATAAAAAATCTTTAAAAAAAATTTAAAAAAAAAAAAAGAAAAGAAAAGATACTGTGACTTGGGTTGGGGAGACAAAAACAGACTGGGTCAGGGGCATCTGGGTGGTTCAATCAGTTGGGCCTCCAACTCTTGGTTTCAGCTCAAGTCATGATCTCATGGGTTGTGAGATCAAGCATCAAGCCCCAAGTCCGGCACTGTGTCCAGTTCTGCACTCAGTGGGGAATCGGCTTGAGAATCTCCTTCCTGCCCCCTCTTGAAAGCATGGGATGGGGGAAGGGGACTCTTTATCAAATAAATAAATAAATCTTAAAAAAAAAAAAAAAAAACAACTAAACTTCAAACTGCTGGTCACAAAGACTGATAATAGCAGAGGCTAGAGCTATAAATAGGAAGAATTTTAAGGGAAAAAAAATACAAAGAACACAGAATGAGGCAACACAGAATCTGAGGATTAGGAGGTAAAAAGTCCATCCAAAGAAGCCTGAGAACAAGAAGACACAACAAAGCACAAGAACAACAAACCTGGGATAAAACAGGACCTCAGAAAAAGTGATAGAGCATAGAGAACAATCAACCATTTTTCATCCAAAGGAAAAGCTCGGGGAAGAACCTAATCAGACAAAGTAGTGAGGCAGGGGCCCATAAGGACAACAGGTCTGATGGGAATATCAAAGAGGAAGACACCTAAGACCAAAATAAACCTCAAAAGAAATGTTCTTTCTCTCCTTCAGAGATCAACAGAGGCTCATAGAGTCCTCATGCTAGTCTGGAAACAAAGATAAAATAGCAAACAAGAACCAAAGCCCAAAAGATGAGGGGCTGAAACAGGGATCTTAGAAAAGGAAAAAAAAAGTAAAAAACAGAATGTTTGAAAGGGTCTAATAATTAGAACTATACCAAGCTGAATTACATCTAGAATACCATACTCTTGCTTTATTTCTAAGATTTGTATGATTTCTATTCTAAAAACCCTTCACAGTGATATATTATATGGTAAAAGGGATTTTGTTGGTGTGGTTAAGTTGAGAACCTTGTGGGATACCTGGGTAGCTCAGCAGTTGAGCGTCTGCCTTCGGCTCGGCAAGATCCCAAGGTCTGGGGATCAAGTCCTGCATCGTGCTCCCTGCAAGGAGTCTGCTTCTCCTTCTGCCTATGTCTCTGCCTCTCTGTGGCTCTCATGGATAAATAAATAAAATCTTTTTTTTTTTAACCAATAAATAAAATCTTTAAAAAAAATTTTTTTAAGATAAGAACTGTGCAATGGGGAGATTACCTAGATTATCCACATGGGTCCTTAAAAGCCAAGAAACATTCCCAGCTGTAGTTAGAAATAACAGATAGACACAATATTGCTAGCCTTGAAGACAAAGGAAGGGAACCATGAGCCAAGGAATATAGGTAACCTCTAGAAGTTGGGAGAAGGCAAGTAAACAAATGCTCTCCTAGAACATCCAGAAATGAATACAGCCCTGCCAACCCTGATTTTAACCCAGTGAGACTCCTATAGACTTATGACCTACAGAACTGTTAGGATAACAAATTTGTGTTAAGTCACTTAAGATCCTTCATAGTTAAGTACAACTCCATTGTATACTTGAATTATGTACACTAGACAAGGGAGAAAGGACTCCACAGGTAGAGAGATCCAAAGGTGGAAGGCTAGAAACTCTGGGGTACAGTGAGATCTCAGAGATCCCACCTCTCTTTTAACTTATGAGTGGTAGACTATGAAAAGTTAACCTATAGCAATAGTAAGAAGAGAATTTGATGAAGGAGAGTTCTATTAGGTACTAGAAATTCCCCATTTTGATTCACAACTACTGTCAGGTAACTGTCAGGAGAGGCAGTACCTCTCCATAACCACATGCTTTAGAACTAGTTGTTCCCCTCAATAGGAAGTATATAAAGAACAGGTTTGAAAGATCTTTGTTCATCATTAAAAATCATTCATTTTTGGCACGTGGGTGGCTCATCAGCTGAACGTCCAACTCTTGATTTTGGTCATGAGATCATGTCCCATATCAGGCTCCATGCCCAACACAGAATGTGTTTGGGATTCTTTCTCTCCCTCTCCCCTTGCCTCTGCCCACCCCCACTGCATGCTCATGCTCTCTCTCTCTCAAAAAAAAAAAAAAAAAAAAAAAAAAACCAAATAAACAAACAAAAAAATCTCTGTCCTGTTGTCCTTTGTCTACTATTCTAATTTACTTATCTAGATCTTGACCTCTAACTGATGATAATCTTTGACCTCAGCACTCAAGCCTCTGATGTGGCCCTGACCCTTTATTTTCCAGCCTACTAAGATTCTGATCTTTCATTTCTAAACTCTGAACCCTGGATCACTCCCCATTCTATAGTTGATAAATCCTAGGGTGGCCTCCATGTTCATACCCTACATTACTATAAAGCTACAGTCATCAAAATACTGTGGTACTGGTATAAAGACAAATACACAGACTAACTGATTAAACTAGGTCCAAAAATAAACCTTCACATATACAGTCAAATGATTTTCAATAAGTGTGCCATAACTATTCAATGGACAAAGGACAGGTTTTCAACAAACGGTGCTAGAAAAACTAGATACTCACAGCATTAGAATAAGGTTGGACACTTACCTAACACCATAAAGAAAAACTAACTTAAAATAGATTCATAACCTAAATATAAGACCTAAAACTATAACATTCTTTTTAAAAAGCATAGGACAAAAGCTTCTGGATTTGGCAATGATTTCTTGCATATGACACCAAAGGCACAGGCAACAAAAGGAAAAAAATAAACAAATGGGGAATTCACAAAGTTTTTCAATTGTGTATAGCAAGACTCTATCAACTGAGTAAAAAGGCAACCCACAGAATGGGAGGAAATATTTGCACATCATATATCTATCCAGATATATAAAGAATTCCTACAACTCAACAATAAAAGAACCCAATTCAAAAATGGGGAAAGGCCGTGAACAGACATTTCTCCAAAGAAGACATATAGATAGGCAATAAGCATGTGAAAAGATGTTTAAAACCTCTCTAATCATTAAGGAAATGCAAACCAAAACTACAACATACCACCTCATAGCTATTATCAAAAAAAAAAAAAAAAAAAACCCACAAAATAACAGAATAAGTATTGGTGAGGATGTGAAGAAATGGGAAACCTTGTATAACACTGGCAGGAATGTAAAATGATACAGCTGCTATATTAAACAGTATGGCAGTTCCAACAGAATTACCATATGACCCGTAATTCTACTTCTGGGTATATACCCCAAAGAATTAAAAGCAGTGTCTCAAAAAAGATATTTGTACACCCATGTTCATAGCAGCATTATCCACAAGAGTTAAAACATGGGAGCAATCCAAGTGTCCTTAACAAATGATAAATGTGGTGCATAGAATGAAAGGAATATTACTCGTCCTTAAAAAAATAAAAGAGGAAATTCTGACAAATGCTACAACATGGATGAACTGTGCTAAATGATGAAAGCATGCTAAATGAAATAAGCCAATCACAAAAAATTGATTCTACTTATTGAAGTACTTAGTGAAATGCTCTCTTAATTCTCACCCTTTCCAGATGGCAAGATGTTAAAAATAAGAAATTCATTTTAAGAAAGTGTGCTATAAAGAAAAGGCCAAGGATATGACTATACAACTTTTTGTTTGAATCTTATAAACATCAAAAGGTCACAACTTTCAGTCATACAAAGGATCTTTTCAAGAGAATAAAGATCCTCTCAGTCAAACCAGAGGACCTCTAAGAAGGTGAAAGGTATTGTCCCTCAACTTCAGCCTGTCTCTCTGCAAGAGACCATGGTGGAAAAGGGTTTGTCTTCAAAAGATCTGTATATGTAGCTTTTGTCTAATGGAGTGAATCCCTCTGAAATCGACAGAACCACACAGTTGAGAAAACTATGTGGGCAGAAACACTGATAAGTTTGGACTAAAAGGGACAAAGGGTACAAAATGAAAGGAGACCGTCAGACCCTCAAAATTCTACTGGTAGCAAGTAGCCATGATAAACTCACTCAACTGCCAATACACACCCACTTTCATAAAAAAGAAGGATGACTCAGGGTAGAACCAATTATCCTACTCAGCCTCCAGGTACCTTCCTATTCCTCCCCACCTTGGTTATTTTCTCTGGGTTTTGCCACTGTCCAATCTGGTTTCAAGTCCCAGTCAGGACCTTTCTTATTAGTCATCCTTCTAGTGCTGCTGAGGATCCCACCATGCTTCAACCTCCTTGTCTTATTACCAACAAAATCCCATCACACTTAACCTACCTTAAAAAGTTTCTGTGAGTGTTTAATCATAAAAGCCATCCCATTGTTCAACTTTGTGATATTCTCTTGGAGGTCATTTGCTGTGACCTATTCAGAGGAAAAGAAACCAAAAGAGGGGGATTAAGAGCTGGGAGGTAGAAGAGATACTCCATTTACTTACCAATAAGTCTTTCAATTTTTTTTTAAATTTATTTATTTATGATAGTCACAGAGAGAGAGAGAGGAAGAGACATAGGCAGAGGGAGAAGCAGGCTCCATGCACCGGGAGCCCGATATGGGATTCGATCCCGGGTCTCCAGGATCGCGCCCTGGGCCAAAGGCAGGCGCCAAACCGCTGCGCCACCCAGGGATCCCCCAATAAGTCTTTCAAAGGTATAGTGGTTTCCTTCTCTAACAAAGGTGCCTCCAGAATAATAATTCTGGAAAGGCTTTTTGGTTCAGCAGGTTTCTACTGAATATGACATAAACTAGGAGAAACCACATATCCCTGAAATCACCAAGAAATCTCAAGAAATCCTTGAGAACCAATCTTTGTTTCCTAATTCTGCTTGAGAATTATACATGCAAGCAGAGTTGGTAAAGAAAATCTAGTCTGGGATTCAAAATGGGCAGGAAGTTGGGACGCCTGGGTGGCTCAGTGGTTAAGTGTCTGCCTTTGGCTCAGGGTGTGGTCCTGGAGTCCCAGGATCCAGTCCCACATCGGGCTCCCCTCAAGGAGCCTGCTTCTCCCTCTGCCTGAATCTCTGCCTTTTGCTGTCTCTCACAAATAAAAAAAAATTTAATTTTTTTAAATTTTTATTTATTTATTATTTTTAAAGATTTTATTTATTTATTCATGATAGACACAGAGAGAGAGGCAGAGACACAGGCAGAGGGAGAAGCAGGCTCCATGCAGGAACCTGAAGTGGGACTTGATCCCAGGACTCCAGCATCATGCCCTGGGCCAAAGGCAGGCACTAAATCGCTGAGCCACCCAGGGATTCCCCCCAAATATTTTTTTTAATGGGCAGGGAGAACAGAATCTATACCAACCACCAAGGACACTGCATCTTTGGAGAAACTGGAATTTCTCCAACGATTTTAGAGAATTGTCACTACTAATTGATACCAAATGTGACATCTGTTTCTTAAAAACACAAATGGTCAAGCATTTTCTTTTTGTTTCTCCTGCCTCTTTTTTAAAAGTATTTGAGCATCTCTATTGTCCCAAAGCCCTCACTCTCACATCCATCTTTATTACGTAATCTGTTTGCTTTTACTAAGATCTCTTAATATTTCTTTGTATAGGCACAGATTACTCACTCTTTTTTCAAAATTTCAGTTGGCTGCTCTAAAATTCTTTCATTAGGAGGTTTGATCTCCTTAACATGAATAAATGTTGGTGTGTCCTTTTCTTCTTACCCCACCCCACTTTTGGGAAGAGGTTCTTCCCGCCTGGAACATTACATTTTTTCACTAGTTAATTGTTAGGTAAAGTGTTCCACACAACTGTCCTCCTTTTTTTTTTTTTTTTTTTTAAATAAATTCTCGAAACTCAACGTGAGGCTAGAACTCACGACCCCCAAGATCAAGAGCCACATGTTCTACCAACTGAGCCAATCAGGCACCCCACAACTAGTCTCCTTAATTTTCTTTTTCTCATCTCTTATAATCCCAAAAATCTTTTATAAATTACTACATCCTATCTATTTCTATTATATTCTAACAACTTTATAAGTGATAAAGTGCTAATTTATGCCCAGATTACAGAGGAAGAGCCTAAGCATAAAAAGGGTAAAGGATACAAATAATATATAGCTGGTTTGCAACTTCCAACGCAAATATTCTGGCTCCCGATTCCATTACACAGTAAAGCCTATATTATGAATGGGCAGGAACATAAAGCTATGTCCCTCCAGGTTAAAAATTAGTTTAAAAGACTTCTAATTTAAAAATAAAATAAATTTTTAAAAAATAATAAATAAAAGACTTCTAATCATTTATTTCTCACATAAGTCATTGAGAAAGCCATGTTCTCAGATATTAAAAAAAAAAATTCAGCTTTATCCAAGGAGAGCATATCTACAGGAAATAGAAAAGTTAGGATAAGGCAGGATTGCTCTATATCACCTTACCTAAAAGCTTAGTAACATTAACCTGTAAAACTATGGCTCTAGTCTAAATTTATACCATGCAATCTTCAGAAATCAATTTGTTCCTATCAAGAAGGAATATATAGTGACCAGTCAAAATGAGTCTTCTAGTTTAGTTAGTAGCTATAATTTTCCACTAAGAGCTTCCACTAATAAACTGTCTTTCAGGTTTATGAGATTGATTTATACATGAGGTTACAAGAACTGGCCCCTTCCAGTTGATGACTCCTAAATGAGCCAATAAAGTATGTTTCTAACCTTGTAAAGCTGAAGAGTAGACCTTGGACCCTTGATAACCTCACCAAGGTATAGCCAGAGGATGAGGCCCAGCCCAAGAAAACCAAGCAGTATTTGCTCTTCCCCTCAACACTCACATTTTTTGGCCACAGGACATGGGGTGCAAACATAAGGGCAAGGTTATAGGCAGACATCTTATTCTTGTCTTGTTTCTTTGCTGTCTGGTACAGGAGATCAAGCAATAACTTCAGCAAGTTACGATTGGGTGGAGGAAGAATGAGGAAGAGCAACTGGAGAGCCTCAATTTGCCTCTCCTTATCCGGTACATTGGTCTTGTTTCCTTTATCATCAAACTGCATCAAATCTTGAGAACAAAAGAAATTATTGCAAAGGAGGATAAAAATACAAGTAAGAAAAATCAACATGCCCACTATTATCCTTCCCTCAACTCCAATCAAAAAAACAAGAAAAAAGAATCAGGCATAAACAGAGATTACTGCAAAATATAATAACAAAGTATAATGTCAATGCAATCCAATAATAAAAAGACCAAAAAAATTTTTAAATAGGCAAAAGACCTGAATAGACATTCCTATAAATAAGATATACAAATGGCCAATAAGCATTTGTTTACTCTGTATCATTACCTATCAGGGAAAAGTAAATTAAAACCATAATGAGCTACTATTTCATATCCACTAGTACGGCTATTACAAAAAAAAAAAACTGAAAATAAAAAGTGTTGTCAAGAATGTTGAGAAAATTAAGCCCTCCTACATTACTGGTGAGAATGTAAAATGGTGCACTTTGGAAAACAGTTTGGCAGTTCATCAGAAAGCTAAAAGTAGTGTTACCATATGACGCTGCAATTCCATTCTTAGGTGGATATATTCTTAGGTATATAGAGAAATGAAAACATGTCCACACAGATCTTTGATTATGCCACCCCCTTCACTTTTCCTCACCCAGATATTTTACAGCTAAAAGAAGTATGACAGTGAATAATGTACTGATAATGGGGATGATCCATACAGCTCCTCAAGGAATCAGAATCACTGTTTCTCCCCTAAGAGGCTATACAGGTTATCAATAAAAAACAGTCCCCTGAATAATCGGAACTTCAAAGGACACAAATACTAACGATTTGGATATAATTCATGTAGACCTGAAAATGATTATAGTGTGTTGTTTAAACTATTTAAATTCAATAATAATTCCAATGTTAGGAAAGGTAGGTAATATTTCTAGAAACTATTCCCTGTTGACATGAAATTGAAAACAAAATTCCCTCCCAGTTATCACCAAGGCATAGCAAATGTTACAACTGTGCCACACCTCAATATGATTACAAAGAACACTGAGTCATGGGGTGGTGGAGCAGAGGATTTCAAATATTGTACTAAAGTAATCGGAATAAACATTCTTCATGTTAACACTTATAAAAAACATATCAATATTTTCCATATCTTTTTCAAGATCCAACTTTTTTCTCTCCAAAATAATTATGAAGTTATATAACATTCTAATAACATGTATTCATTTGTATAATCCAGATTGTCACTGAGAGTGCTAAAAAAAAATCAAATCTCATTAGATTTTAGAAATTAAAGCTAGTTAAGTAATAAAAATTACTCAACATAAAAAAAAAACTTATATTTTCCTTAAAATTAGAAGAGGAAAATGCCCATGGGCACAAAACCATGTAAATGCAGTATAGATTTTGATGCTGTGTGCACTTAGAGCCTATAGCAGCCTAAGAGATATGCAATTTAAGAATGAATTCCCGGGATCCCTGGGTGGCGCAGCGGTTTGGCGCCTGCCTTTGGCCCAGGGCGTGATCCTGGAGACCCGGGATCGAGTCCCACGTCGGGCTCCCGGTGCATGGAGCCTGCTTCTCCCTCTGCCTATGTCTCTGCCTCTCTCTCTCTCTCTCTGTGACTATCATTCATAAATAAATAAATAAATAAATAAATAAATAAACAAACAAACAAACAAAAAAATAAAATAAATAAAATAAAATAAAATAAAATAAAATAAAATAAAATAAAATAAAATAATGAATTCCCTACCACACAGACATAAGAGAATGAGGAAAATATGAGCTGAAAATGGAACATCCTCCAAGACATAAGTGAACAAAGCAAACCACAGAACCATGTATCTAATACTCTCTTATCGCATAAAAAGAGAGAAAAAGAACATATGTAAGTACCTGTTTGTAAATGTATAAAATACCTGTGGAAGGATACATTAGAAATCAATAGTATTGGTTGCCTCTGGGAAGAAAAACTGGGTAATTGGGGAACAGAGGTGGGAGACAGGCTTTTCATTGTATACTCTTTTGAATCTTTGGAATTTGAACCATGTGAATGTATTGCCTATTTAGAAAACAAAGTTATTTTCAAAAAACAAGTTTCCAAGATTAGAAATGATCTCAACTAAGGCATAGTAATACTTAGCAAAAGCCCCAAACTAAGGCAAATATAGCAAATCTGTAACCATCTCGGGTATGTGAATCAATCCAATGAAAAGTACTCATTTATTGAGCAACTAAAATGTTCAAAGCACAACGCTAGGATCCATCAGGGATACAAGAATAAATAAAACCCAGAATTTATCATCAAAGAAATTGATTTAGCAAGAAAAACACTTGATTAAATCAAACTTCATTGGCCAGTACTATCCAGAGAGCCCAAAATATCATGAAGTCTTAACCAATTTTAGAAGTACTGCTGTACAAACAACAGAAAATTCCAAACAACTTTACTCAGTCAAAAGATATTTATTTACATCTCCTTCTCATCTCCCATACTTACCAGCAATTTTGAGGTGCGCATGGAAATGTTTATGAGTCAGCAGGGGCTCAGGTAACTCTCCCAGAAACATCTTCAGCAAGGTAGCAACGTCATTTGAATGAAACTCCCCTGATTCCAAGTCAATATCAGTTCCATTATTGAGAGCATCTCTTAAAATCTGCTGTCGGACACTATTCCCTGGTACTCTAAACAAACCCTCTACTCTCAAGTCTGTTTAGCATGGAAAAAACAGAGGACATGCAAAAAGGAAGCAAAAAGAAATTAAAATTAAGTCATCTAAGAGACTACTTTATATTTGAAAGACCCTTTATAAAGATGTTGAAGGAGGCTTTTTTCCCCTTTTCCCAGAAAAATTTTGAACCTACTAGCCCCCAAGACTTATCTGAACATCCCTGAGTACCTGAAAATGGTCTGCCCAGGACCAGGCACATCTGGAGACTGAATGACTGAATGAGCTTGAAAAATAAGTTGGAAGAAAGCCAAATCTCCTAGAAGGCCCCTTCCCCTCTGGTCATCTCAGACTTTGTCTGGAGGGGCTGAATTCATCTGTGGAAGTTTGCTCCTCCTTTAAATGGTTTCCCAGTCCAAAATGAATTGAGAGCCTTTGCACTGCCCCAGAAATTAGAACTCTAACCTACCAGATCTCCTTTTGGTCTGAGATTTCCAGAAGCTTAGGATCATTCCAACCAAACTGTTCTTCCCTTCCAACTAGGTTCTAAGCTAATATAAGAGGATAAAAAAAGATGGGAATGATAGTTTTGGTTCAATCTGTGAAAACCATGAGAGTTCATGTTTTCAGCTTAGGCATGTATTTATTTTTACATAGCCCCCTAATTCAAGGGTTCAAGTTCAAATGCCCAGAGGGCCAGACAGGTAATAATAAATGAATGAAAGGGAATCAAAACAAACTACAGAGCACATATACTTGTGCTCTAGCTGACTGTGTCCAAGTGGGGGCCCCCAGGTACTAGATCTTCCTATCATCCAAAGAATTCAAAAACCTGGAATTTCCTTATTCCTCACTGATAACTGATCTTTCTTTAATTTAATCCTTTGCCAACCTAACAAAACATGAACACAGAGAACTCAAGTCCTTACACTATCAGTTTACAACTTCTGCTCTAGCTCCAACCACAGTGCCCCACATAAAATGTCATAAATAAACATTTGTATTGAATTTATCAAAGCATCACATATACTACACACTTCACATACACTCAACTGTACCAAGCACCTAGAGCAATGGCATAACCAGTAGGACTACCACAAAATGAATAGGAATTAAGCAAAGAGTGTATTTTAATAATAGAATTACAGAAATGAAAAGTATCTTTGGTGATAAATCACGTTCCCTTGAGTAAAGAATTGATTCTTATGAACAACGTATTTTTCCAGGAAAAAAAACCTGAGTCAAGGGGAAAATATGATTTCATAGATACTATCAAATTTATCTACATCTTTGAGAGTATAAAACAAATCAATATACGAGATGAAAAAAATTTTTAAGGATTTTATTTATTTATTCATAAGAAACACACACACACACAGAGAGAGGGGGAGAGAGAGAGTGAAAGAGAAAGGCAGAGACACAGGTAGAGGGAGAAGCAGGCTCCTTGCAGGGAGCCTGACGTGGGACTTGATCCCATGTCTCCAGGATCAGGCCCTGGACTAAAGGTGGCGCTAAACTGCTGAGCCACCTGGGCTGCCCATGAGATGAAATTTAAAAGGAAATATATTGGGGGTCCCTGGGTGGCTCAGCAGTTTGGCACCTGCCTTCGGCCTGGGGTGTGATCTTGGGAGTCCCAGGATCGAGTCCCACATCAGGCTCCCTAGGTGGAGACTGCTTTTCTGTCTGTGTCTGTCTCTCATGAATAAATAAATAAAATCTTTTAAAAATTAATTAATTAAATAAAAGGAAATATATTTAGAAACATGCCACTTAAAAATTATCATTGGTTAGTGTCTTTTGTTCATTGCCACCTACTAACTCAAGGAAGTTAGCTTTCAACAAAACTAACAACTCTTCATTAACAAAGAACAAAAATCTTGAGTAGTCTTACTTTTGTGTAGATACTCAATTAGTTGGTATATCTGGGCAATGCCTTCCTCTGTCAACGGGGATCCAAATACCACTCCTTTTTCTAAAAAAAATCATATGACAGAACAGGGCTATATTTTCCACAAATAGCACAAAAATCATCATTCTTAAAGCCACTCAAGCATCCTATGTTACAGTTTAGCAAATACTTTCACAAGTTTTGTTTTTTTTTAAGATTTTATTTATAGAGACACAGAGAGAGAGGGGGGCAGAGGTACAGGCAGAGGGAGAAGCAGGCTCCATGCAGGGAGCCCGATGGGGGACTTGATCCCGGGTCCCCAGGATCACACCCTGGGCTGAAGGTGGTGCTAAACCGCTGCGCCACCGGGGCTGCCCCCTTTCACAAGTTTAGTAAACAAAAACCTTAAAGCTGGAAGTACATCCAAAAATTTAACAACTTTCAATCAATTCTCTGCAAGTTTAATATTAGACTATAGGTTCCTTAAAGGCAAAGACCATCTTCTTATTTAAGTAGCAATACCTAGCATGTTGATGTTTAACTTTAAAGTAAAAACCAAAAAAAAAATAATAATAATAATAAAGTAAAAACCAGGGAGGTGCCTGGGTGGCTCAGGAAGTTGAGCATCTGACTCTTGATTTCAGCTCAGGTCATAATCTCAGGGGCCTGAGATCAAACCCTGCATTAAGCTCTGCACTCGTGCAGAGTCCACATGAGATTCTCTTTTTTCCTCTCCCTCTGCCCCTCCCCCAGCTCATAGCCATACTCTTTAAGAATCATAAATAAAACCATTAAAATAGATAGATAAATAAATAAACAAAGAAACAAATAGAATTTAGAGCCACAATTGTCAAAGTATTACAAATTATCCACTAGCATTGGTATAGGGCCTGATGTATTGCTAATGTTTTTTTTCTACTTTAAAATTTTTTCTTATGCTTAATAAGATAGTACCTCTTTAATATCTTATCAAAAGCAGTGCTATAATTTATTTTCTAGGAAGGCTTATATTTTGGGTGACTCATAGGTATTTGCCTTATCAAAGCATTCTATGGAATGAAAACATTTGAGAACTGCAATAAAAAAATGTTCAAACTTTCTTTACTGTACCCTCCAGCTATGTCAAAGGGCATGAAAATCAAGGTGTCCCTGATAACTACCTAAACTAAATCATGTCATCTCTCTCAGGAACTGATATACTCACTTCAATTTATCTACTTTTTAAATTTTTTATTGCTAATTTAAGATTTTACTACTTATGAAAATGAGAAAAATGACCAAAAAAATACTGTACATAATAGCAACTCAGTGAATGTGCAAATGTTAGGAGATTAAGTCCAGGGAGCAGCTGAGACCTGTTCACCCTTCACAGACACATCCCCTACCCTTTCGCTTAAGAGACATTAGAGACCGGAAGAATCCAGATGCTGGGCCGGCCCCACCAGGCAATTTAAGGTCCACTTCCCCCATCAGCTGAGCCAACTCGGTTCCAGGTAAGTCAATGAGCCTTGTAATATTGCTGACCACCAACTCGGTGAACTCCTCAGGTTTCTCATGTCGGAGTTTCTCCACAAAAAAGTCAGGATTGAAGATAATGGGTTGCCCTCGAAGGGAGGAGTCATTGCAGATAACAAAATTACAGATGGCATCACTGAAAAAAACGAAACAGAAGACACTTTAGGAGGATCGTTTTTGCAAGTTTCTCCCGCTCTCTAAGTCATACAATTATTCACTCTTTCTGTGGGTTAATCTATATATTGGTCTTTTGAAAAACCTAATCCTTAATCTAGTGACTGTACAAAAGAAGACAATTTAAGCTTGTTGCTATTTAGGTTATACTCATCTAGATACTTAGGAAGTTCATTTAATGAAAAGACCAAATAACCTCTAAATAAGACCAGACTCCCTGCTCAGTGTGGAGTCTACCTCTCCACAGAGGCTGTGGCTGCCCCTCCCCACTGCTCATGCATGCTCGCATACACATGCTCTCTCTTTCTCTCTAATAAATAAAATCTTTAAAAATAAATTAATTAATAAATATGACCCAATTTTTTCCCTTAATTCAGGCATATGCCATAAAAAGATATAGATTCTTACAGCCTCCCAAGTCTAACAGTATATTAAATTTGGTAGTCATATAGATCATATTTCCTTATTAAAACAGTCAAAGCCTGAATTATTACTGTTAAATACTTGTAAGACACTAGACCTACAGCTGTTCCCCCTAACACAACAATGGGTAATATCAAATTAAAGTCTTCTTGGGGGGATCCCTGGGTGGCGCAGCGGTTTGGCGCCTGCCTTTGGCTCAGGGTGCGATCCTGGAGACCTGGGATCGAGTCCCATATCGGGCTCCCGGTGCATGGAGCCTGCTTCTCCCTCTGCCTGTGTCTCTGCCTCTCTCTCTCTCTCTCTCTGTGTGACTATCATAAATAAATAAATTTAAAAAAATTTAAAAAAAAAAAAAAGTCTTCTTGGGAATACAGCCAGTGCTACACAGTATTTCCCATGTAGTGTCCCAACTGCTGACAGTACCACATTTAGGCCAGTCTCAAATGCCACAGAAACCACATGACAATAGTATGAGCTTATATAACAGCTAAAACTACATCTAAACAGTGCAGTAGACCTTTTGAAGACATTTACTCTACCCATAAGGTTCTTTAGTTCCTGGGTCCCTACACAGAAAAAAAATTTTTTAAGATTTTATTTATTTATTTTGCAGCAGGAGGAAGAGAGCACCAGTTGGAGGGGCGAGGGGGGACGAGCAGAGGGAGAGGAAGAAGCAGACCCTCCTTCCAACCAAGGAGCATACATAGGCATATTCTAGTATCAGCTGGTTTTAATTAAGCCAGCTGCCCTTGGATTCTGTTTCTCATAATTGAAAAGCCTTCACCAGAATGGAAGGCATTTATAGTTATATAAAATAGATATTGGGGCATCTGGGTAGCTCAGTTGGTTAAGGGTCTTCCTTCAGCTCAGGATATGATCCCAGGGTCCTGGGATCCAGCCCCATGTCAGGCTTCCTGCTCAGCAAGGAGTCTGCTTCTCCCTCTCCTTCTGCCCTGCTTATGCTTTCTCGCTCTCTCTCTCTCTCAAATAAATAAATAATCTTTTTCAAAAACTGTTTAAAAATAATAAAATAGAATAGAATAAATAGATATTAATTCCACCTTAACCAGGTCCAGAAATTAGTTTTATTTTAAAATCCTTCAACTCTTGATGCCTCTGTCCATCATTTAAGTCCAACCTTTGTTCAGACACATTCTTCTCTCTAGGGCACTCTATCTTGCTCCTAATTTCACTTTTCTGTCATTGAATAATACTAAGTAGATATGTTCTGTTGGCCCCTGATCTTAGCTGGTTTTCTCCTACATTACTCAGGCTATATTCCTAGCAAAACTCCCTTGATTCTCAAGAAATATTTTCTTCCCTATTCATTGTTTTCCAATGCCTAACTGCTATACTCCTTTGTACCTTTAATATGTTACATATAAGAATTATATTATTCCATCTCTGGTAGCAGATAAAACACCACTTGTTTGTATCCATTATCAATTATCTCTAATGGCTTGTTCTAATCCTTATTATATAAACAGTCACCTATTATATAACCAATGAATGGACAGAACACAAGCCAAAAAGGACAAGTCATCATATCTGTCAGGCAAAGTTGAAATTCACCTGACAGTACAAACATTCAATAAATAAATAAATAAATAAATAAATAAATAAATAAATAAATAAATAAATAAATAAATAAATAAATAAAAAAAACAACTTAAAAGTCTTCCACAACATCATAGGTACCAAAACATTGTTCTAGGAAAAAATTACATTCTAAACATTAAATATCAGTAATCTAAATCTCCTTTGTCAGCACTACATGAAAAATTTTTAGTAAGGGGGAACCCTGGGTGGCTCAGCGGTTTAACTCCTGCCTTTGGCCCAGAGCGTGATCCTGGAATCCTAGGATCGAGTTCCACATCAGGCTCCCTGTATGGACCCTGCTTCTCCCTCTGCCTTGTGTCTCTGCCTCTCTCTCTCTCTCTCTCTCTCTCTCTCAGTGTCTCTCATGAATAAACAAAATCTTAAAAAAAAATTTAATGATGGTATAATGAAAACAAAGCACGGAAAAGCTTCAAAGTTTGTCACTACTTCCTTGAAAAATTATTACATAATTTTAATCAACAGTCCAAATCTTCAATTGGTGGCTACTAAATTCCTTTTCTCTGAAATGATAATATAAGAATTCACATAAAAATTTTAAATTATGAATATGTATTCTCAAGCCAAAAAGTCATTAAAGACCTTAAACTGCTTATTGACTTGACCTTTTTACACGCAAGGAAAGATAATTTTCCCTATAAAGGTGTCAATGATTATAAAGCAATTAAAATCAAAAGCAACTGTATCCTAAGCCATTGACAAAAACCTCTTTTTTAGTGTCAGCTGATTTCAGTTAAGAAACATGAGTCAATATAAAACTACTGTTTATAATCACTGCCAATGAGAAATCACTACTCTGAGAGCCAAAAAAAATCATGAAATGTGTTAGCACTGAAAAAAGTCTTATAATTTACTGAGTCTAAACTATCATTTTATGGGGCGCCTGGGTGGCTCAGTGGTTGAGCGTCTGCCTTTGGGTCAGGTTGTGATCCCGAGTTCTGGGATCAAGTCCCACGTCGGGCTCCCTGCATGGAGGCTGCTGCTCCCTCTGCCTGTGTCTCTGCCTCTCTGTGTGTGTCTCTCATGAATAAATAAGTAAAATCTTTTTTAAAAAATAAACTATCATTTTATGGACTTCAAATCCCTTTTAATTCTGAAAAACAGATTTCAGATCAAATTAGTTCTAACACATAAATATACATGAATAGCATCCATTATATTCCTGAAGTAGAAACACATATAGACATATAACCTTCAGACCTTTATTTTTTTAATATCTGGAGCAATATTCAGTTAAGATTCTAAAACTTCCATCACAGATGACCTTTCAGCACTAAACTAGATCAAATACAAAAATAAGAAAGGAGCTAGATGCACAAAGCAATAACTAAGTTTCTCAATACAGTCCTTCCTAGCTAGCCATCACCCCCAAGCCCGCCCTCTCCTAAACAGGTAAAACAGGTAGAAGAATAAGTAAGTTGAAGGCTCCCCTATCTGTTCACAAATACCAGAAAAAGTTCCCCTGGAGTCCTAACCCACAGGTAACAAGCAATCTGTTTCTTTTCTCCTTCTGCTTTTCTCTTTCCTTCCTGTGATCATTCAATCTGTTTTGCCCCTTGCCCCATTTGAATGTCTTTAACCCAGTGTTTTATTTCCCCTTCTTCACTTTTTCTGAGTGAAGGATCTAGTAAGTCAGGATGTAAGACAGAGAAATAGTTAAAAAAGAAGTAAAATGGAAGATGGGAAGATGGAAAAGACAGATACACTGGGTTACATTTTTTAATTACCTCCATACCACACAGCCTGTTAATCCTGTTCCACAGAATATACAATATCACAACCTAAAGCTGAGAATACCAAGGAACATGATTAAGAATTTAAGAGACTTCTAGGACAAAGAAAAGAACCCTACATTTAAGCAAGAACAACTTCCTACTCTATAGTATCTTATTTTAAAACAAAGTCTAAGTTTTCTTAAGTTCAAGAAAAAAAATTAATTTCTTACATAAGTGCTGAAAGCTTCTGATGAGGCATTGGTAAATTGAAGAGACAGGAAAAAAGCTTTCTCCTTGTTTGTTGTGACAAAGGAACCTCCTTGCCCTGCCCCATCACAGCCTACAGAAATTCCAGACATGTTAGAGGACACAAGGACACATTATGGGGCCTGAAAGGCAGTACTTATCAGAACTCTAGGCAGTCATCTGCAAGTAGGAACAAAACAGAAGTAAAAAACTGGACCAGTTCATTGTATTTGCCAACGCGTAGATGAAGCTCAATAGTAGTCTCCCATCATGCTAAAAGTTGTATTAGACAAAACAATCACATAATGTAAGAGAATAAGGACAAGTACTCTTACAGTATGGAAGGAAGGATTATCCCTACCTCACATCACATACAAAAGATAGAATAAAGATCTAAATATTTTTGAAAAGCCAAACTTTGGGCAGCCCCGGTGGCGCAGCGGTTTGGCGCTGCCTGCAGCCTGGGGTGTGATCCTGGAGACCTGGGATCCAGTCCCACATCAGGTTCCCTGCATGGAGCCTGCTTCTCCCTCTGCCTGTGTCTCTGCCTCTCTCTCTGTGTCTATGAATAAATAAATACTAAAAATCTTAAAAAAAAAAAAAAAAGAAAAGCCAAACTTTAAAAAGTTTAGACAAGAGCAAAGAAGAATAAATGAGGCAGCGGAAATGTGTCTTAAGGCATAAAAAGCACAATCCACAAAGAAAAGATTGAGACATTTAATTATATTAAAATTTTAAATGTGTGTAAAACAAATGACATTATGAACAAAGGTCTTTAAAAATGAAGTCAAAATGCCTCTGGAGAGAGGAACTGGATGAAAAAAACAGGAGTGGGAGAAAAACTTCTCATTGTATGCTCTTTTGTATTTTCTGGATTTTTTTTTTTTAAGATTTTATTTATTTATTCATGAGAGAGAGAAAGAGAGAGAGAGAGAGAGAGAGAGAGAGAGAGGAGACACAG